GCAAAACGTTTTCAATATCGTAACAGAATAATGATGACTCAACAATCAATTTTTGATTCCTTTAAAAAATGTGAATGAACTTTGAATGACAGAAGGATCAGTTTTCTGTTTTAAAAAAAGTGAATGAAAGTTAAGTTGATGAAATAACATGAATTATGTTTGTCTCGGGAAGTAGACACCTGATATAGTCATAATTATAGTGTTGTCAGGAAATTGAATTGTTCAAGCCGTCCATCATGTTACTGGAAGAAGAGAAAAACAAGACAGGGAAACAAACTTAAAACATATATATTGTAAGACATTTCTATTGTGATCACAACGGATTATTGTTAGACGCTTCTATTGTAATCATCATGGATTTAACACTAAAATGTTTCCTGGTTTGAATTGTTAAACAAGAGATGAAGTTGCTAAATATGTTCTTAAATACAAATCAGGGGATAAACACAAAATGCACGATTTAGCGTTTTTTTGGTAACACAAAGTAAACTGTTAATACAGTAGTACAACAAATTATTCAAAAAAAGAAAAAAAAAGGAAACATAATTTTTTATTGTTGGAAATGGAGAGAAGTGCGTCTGAACAAGTTATATGTGATGGAACAGTTGTCAGACGGATAAACACAAATAAGGTATACCAACACACCACTGTCATTCTATATACATGAACTTTTTTGTTATTGTCTTCTTTCAGAAAGGAAACACTAGTCTTGCTTGCTGATGTAAAATTTTAAAATTTTAAGCTTTATGCCACAGCTTTAGGTATAATATAATTGAATCTATATTTGAAATGTCCCCTCACCCCAAATATAATTTTGTGTATTAGTTTGTCCATATAGCAAAGGTGGAGAATTGTCAGATAGTTGTAGAGTGTTAGTCCTGATAAGATTTTGTTATTATTTGTTTTTGTTTTGCTGTGTATGTCACATAACTGAACATTAGAAAATAAAGATGTAGTGAGATAAAGGTCATACCAAATTTTATATTTTATTTTCATGGAGAGCAATTTGCAATGACTCCGCTGTCTTTTCAAAGGCCATAATATAAAAAACATAATCATGAAGGTGGATTCTTTTGGTTTCATCACAGAAATTTGGATGTGACTTCAACATTGAAACACATATCTGGCACTTTAAATGGATGTCATTTGATCAAGGTCAAGGATGAATATAAACATATTTCTGTGTGAATGCCGTAATATTGAAAATTTTAGGTCTACTGTGAGCAGGTAGGTTAGTGTCACATGACTTTTCCTGCCAAGATGTTTTTATTTACAGAAGTTATATATCTAGAGTAAGGAAAGAGAGAAAAAATTGTTCTTTCAAAAGACAAATCAGAGTTACTAATGTTAGTACATTTTTAGCTCAACTATTCGATAAGAATAAGTAGAGCTATTGTAATCACCAGAACGTCTGCGTCGGCAAAACTACTTCTGTTAAAGTTTTTGTAATACCTCAAATACCTAAAATACTTTCAAAGTCCATTGACATATGGCTTTGAAACTTTGCACGCTTGTTCACCATCATGACCCCAACCTGTAGACAGGAGGAGGTAACTGTATCAAGCATTTTAACAGAATTATGCCCCTTTTTCGACTTAACATTTACGTTAAAGTTTTTGTAATACCTCAAATATTTTCAAAGTCCATTGACATATGGCTTTGAAACTTTGCACAATCGTTCACCATCATGACCCCAACCTGTAGACAGGAGGTGGTAACTGTATCAAGCATTTTGACAGAATTATGCCCCTTTTTTACATAGAATTTACGTCAAAGTTTTTGTAATACTTCAAATATTTTCAAAGTCCATTGACATATGCCTTTGAAACTTTACACACTTGTTCACCATCATGACCCCAACCTGTAGAAGGGAGGAGGTAACTGTATAAAGCATTTTGACGGAATTTTGCCCCTTTTCTACTTTTATTTACGTTAAAGTTTTTGTAATACCTCGAATATTTTCAAAGTCCATTGACATAATAGGACTCTCTCCAAGGCCTATAAATGTAACATGGGTTTAAAGAAAAATTTTGTCCTTTTGTTATTAACTTTACATTATCAAGGCTCTTTTACTATCAAGCACTAAGAATAGTAAAAAAATGTCCTACCAACAGCTCTTGTTGTACTTGCTTTTTTTTGTAGTTGACTGATGCTGTAACTTCCTACACTGTGAGGTAGGGGTCACTATGAAAATGCTTGAAAAATTGTTGGCTGCTCTAAGGAATTATAATTTTTCACTTCTTGAACAATTATCTCTACAGACTGGAGACTATGCTCAATTTCTTGACATGGCCCACCCATCTGTTTTTGCAAAGTCATGTAGATTTTTTATGAGAAATTGAGTTTGATAAGACCTGCCATAGGAAAATTTATGAGTAATTGTTCTTGATATAAAATCTGATAAATTGCTGCCTGGTATTTTCCTTTCAAGTTTTTTTTTAATGCTGTGAAAGTGTTTCTTTTTTTATCTTTTTTTTTGTATTAAATAAATACAATGCAGTAATGTGGGAAAATTCTTCAAAGAAATATTTAGGATATGGAAAAGATTCTTGTAACAAAGAAAAGGAATGTGGGGCTGTTAATTAATAAAGATTGGGTCCAGTGTTTTATAGAGAAGAAATACAAATCAATAATTTCAACAATGTCTTTTGAGAGCGCATTTTGAGAACCCAGGAAAAAACCAATCTTAAAACTGACCCAATGAACATACCATAGTGTTAGTTTGAGTTTGTGGTAAGGACAGTGTAGAAGGGGAAAGAAGGGAAACTAGGATTTGATTGAGCCCGGGGGGTGTTGCAATTTTTAGATAATATTGTTTTAGAAGATACTCTTTTATAGCCCATTAAATTTAATTCCCCAAAAGGGGAACAAAAAGGGGCCTTTATTGAGCAAATCAAATTTCTGAAAGGGGAAAATTGGATATCTTTTTTATAGTGGAATAAATGACTTGTGTTATTTCAGTGATCAATAAAATTGCGACATGTGAAACATGTGCTTTAATGAAATTCCTTAACATTATATCAGGTCAAGGCAGCTAAAATATTGTGATTCCATTGCTGAAGTGGTTTAAAAAAGAACAACGGAAACATGGTTGTAATTTCTAATTGAAGGCAAGCTATTGTTTCAATAAATCAGGAGAATTTTTGTTGATGTATAATATTCTGAATGTTATTGTCTGTTTTAAGTGACTAAGTTAATAAATATAACATGAACAGCGATGGTTTGTAATAAGGCAGGGTTTCCATGGAAATTTGTTTTAATATTATGCACATCACACCAGGAAGGGCATTTAGATTCATTTGTTACCAGTTTTAAGTTAGTTTAATTATTATATAATAACTCTTATTATTTCCTCATATGAAGTCATGAAGTCCAGAAAAATTGTACATGTAAAAAAAACAAAATTCAAGTTGAACTTTGTGATTTCATGCTTTTTAAGGAAGTGTTATATGACAGTGTGGTTACCATAGCAATCTATAATATAGATATTTAATGACACAAATTGTGGTTAAAAGCAGAATTAAGTACTTGTAAGTTATGAATTATAAGAAACAAGAAATACATGCTTGAAGCTGAACTGCAACAGTTTTTTTTATGTAAGAGAAATGATTTGAATGATATCATTGTATAAAATATTGTTGATGAAAAAAGAATTGAAAAACAAAGTGACCTTTCATTCTGGGCAGTAAAGTTTAAAGTGAACATTATCTTAGATGTTTGGCAGGTTAAGATGAACCTTGAGATATTTGTGAATAGAATTCATTGAGAAATTTTTGCTATTGATTGTTGTTTCTCTTATTCAGGCTTTTCAATGCAATTTATCAAATAATTTATCTTGTAGCATATCTCCCTTGTTACTGCTTGTATAGTATGCAAAAGGCTTTTGTGACCAGTTTAGGGGTAAAAGTTGAAATTGCGATGACGAATTTATTTTATTTGTGTAGTGTATGAGAAGATAATATGCTTGTATAAGTATTGATTTAAGAAATAGGGGAAAAAAGAAGGTAAAAGGCAATGTACGGTGAATATTGATTGTATAGTTAAATATGGCCTGGAATGGAAATGCATCAAAGTCTCGACAGTTTGGAAATATTGAGACGGTTCTTCCTTCGTTGATAATTTAGTAAAATAGAAATCTAGGATATAATTTGCTCTGATATATTTGTATGTAGAGGATATATTGAATAATCTGAAAAGTAAGTTTTCATATATAATTATGACATTTGTCAACTTTAATTTTATGTCTTAGTTAAACTGTTATTGGTGAAATTTTATAATGGACATGTCTTTTTTGAATTTGGGAATATTAAGATTGAGTAGTAAATATGCATATGAGTTTCCATTGGGCCATGGTAATACATGTATTCAGTGTAATATGTACAAATTAATGTATTACAATATTAAATACATACAAATGTTGATGCTAATATACTAAAGTAATGTATTACAATATTACATGCATGCGTAAATATATTGAAGTTTATATGCATTACAGTATTAAATACATGTAGATACCTAAATATATGGTAGTTATACATTACTGTTCTTAATACATTCACAGTCATGTAGATACTACAATTTTAAGGCATTGTTATGATATAGATTAATACCTATATCAAAATTACTGTAAATATTTATTGTAATGCAAGATTTGCAAAGACATGCATAAATAATATTTTTATATGTATAGACTGGTACACAAATTTTCAAAGATTGACGTTGTCTGAAGTATAGATTTGGATTGTAAAAAAGTGTACATATGCAAACATATATTTGTGAAATGCATTTTTGCTAATAAAGCATAAACTGATGTTTGTGTACACAATGTATGTTACATGTGGTTAAAAGTCATATTGACTGTTTCATTTGAGAGTGAAATTTACCTCTCCTTGGAATATTGATGTAATATACATTCATGTAATATTGATAAAATTTATGTAAATAATTAACTACATAAGCATGTAATAAAGTAAATAAATGAAATAAAAATCTGTTTTCAGGGTCGTTCACGGGATCCCCGTCGTAGAGCTACTGTCGGATACTCACAGCAGCACAACAGGTCCATGGATTACGAGGGAACAGTGTCCGAGGCAGAGGGCCCAACATTCCATCGGGGAGGGTTTGTACGATCTAGTCTTCCTGCAGCTCGCAGCCCTCCATCTATAGATAAACCACCTGGTAACTTATTATAATTATTGTTCGATTACGTTTGGTATTGTGTCACACTTACATTGTTATATAGTGGAGTATCTTGACTTCTTGTTACTGTGAAAGACAGAGATGTTGTCAGATATCTTACCTTAATATTTGATGAATTAATTGTCCAAATATGTAAATTACCTTGTTAGAACCACAGACCTTCCTTGCCAAGTTCATGACAGACTTTGTCTGTTTCTGAAATCACAGGGTTAGTGGTTCAATGTCAACAAATCTAACCACACATAAGCTGATACAGCTTCATTTATGGCAAACGTGAAACATGGCTTACTATTTGAACATTAATAACAATTCATTTTTCTGATATTCAGATAAAAGAAATTTCACCCAACAATATTTGTCATTGTATTTGTTTTGTAATCTTTGATATATAATATTTTGAATATTGAACATTTTTCTTTGGCATTATAGGTCTAGTGTTTCTTATATTCCGTGATGAAACAAAGAAAGCCCTGTTACCTAATGAAATAACGCATCTAGACACTGTGCGTGCCATGTTTGTTCGCTCATTTCCTGGTAAATTGACAATGTCGTACTTAGAATCACCAAAGAGGAAAATTTACATTCTAGAAGCTCGAACCAATATATACTACCAGTTAGAAGATCTCAGGTAAGGAATATTATTGTGACCTTTCAGTACTGACAAGTTCATCTAAACATCAGATTAATATATAAAGATTTTAAGAAAAGTTAAGAAACAGTGCTTGTTTCATTTAAATAAAGTCAAATATAAAAAATCAAAATTGCATTATGATTTGGTAAGTTGTAGCAATGATGAGCAAATGATGAATGATTACAAACTCTTACCAGATTTATAGTTAATACACCAGATATTATCAACTATTAGCAAAATAGATATTAACACAAAGGCAGGAGATAATGATTATATTACCTATAATATGAAACAACTTCAACTGGAAAAAGAATCTGTCCTAATTTACAAGGATCTAGACTTGTTTGGATAAACATCAATGTGGGTATAATGGGGTATTATTGTACCAAGTATTGATATATTTTATTAATCAAAAAGGGAAACATGATGTAAGAAATGAAGAACTTTATCAGACAGTTACACAATAAAAAGACCTTGTGCATGTAACCTTGCCTTGATAACAAATGCAAGTGTTCTTGTGAAGCTGAACTATAAATCAAATTAGATTTTCACAATTTTCAAGAAAATCTGAGAATTGTTTCTTGCACCTCAATTCAAGATGAATATTTGTTCCTAGAGGAATTAACAATGCTGAAAAAACAGTGAGAAAATACAAGCTCAGCAGATATTTTTATATGGTTTTGGTCGGGGACGTTCATTTTTAGGTCTTGTGCAGCTTGAAAATGTTGTGAATTTCTGGTCCTTCCTAAAATGTATGTCATGAAATTGTCTTACAGTTTTAATGTTAGATTTTATTTGACGAGACACACAGGGGACTATTTTGACTTTCCAGGCAAAATACTGTCTGACAAAATTAGCAAGAAAATTATAATAGTTTGATATATATATTTGCTGAATCTAAATGTTGCACAATTTAAGCTGAAAGGCAGAAAAGAATATTGTTGGGAATGTATGAAATAATCAAATAGATGTCCCAGGTTTTAGTAAGCCTTTGTCTTCTAGAGGACATTGCAAGGGCATACATGCTGCTCTACTTATTTGATAATTGGTTTTGGGTTGAACCAGATTTGTACAGTCAGCAAAGTTAACCAGATTTGTACAGAATGACCAGATTTTGAACAATCAGTCCCAGATTTGAAACAGTCGGGGACGCAAGACTTTGTATACTTCAGACTAGATTTGTACAGTTATGACCAGATTTGTACAAACTATGACCAGATGTTGTAACACTCAGACCAGATTTTGTATACTCAGACCAGATGTGTACAGTCAGACGGCAGATTTGTACAGCAGTCAGAACAAGATTTGTACAGTCAGACCTAGACTTGTACAGTCAGACCAAGAAATTTGTACAGTCAGATCAGTTTTTGTATACTCAGAACGACCCGATTTGTACCAGTCAGACCATTTTTACAGTCAGACCAGATTTGTAGCAGTCAGACCGACAGATTTGTACAGTCAGACCAGATTTGTACACTCAACCGACCAGATTTGTATCACTCAGACCAGAATTTGTATAGTCAGACCAGATTTGTATAGTCAAGACCAAGATTTGTACAGTCAGACCAGATTTTGTATACTCAGACCAAGATTTGTACACCTCAGACCCAGATTTGTAACACTCAGACCAGATTTTGTACAGTCGGACCAGTTTGTGCAGGTCAGGCCAGACTTGTACAGTCGGAACCAGAATTTGTACAGTCAGACGCAGATTTGTCAGTAGATTTGTACAGTCGGACCAGATTTGTAACAGAAGGACCAGATTTGTACACTCAGAACCAGATTGTACTGTTTATGACCAAGATTGTAACAAAATCAGACCAGCTTTTATTACATTCAACCAGATTTATAATAGTCAGACAGATTTGTACTGTATGACCAGATTTGTAAAGTAAGACCGATGTTGTATACTCAGACCAAAGAATTTGTAAATAACTCAGACCAGTTTTGTACAGTCAGACAGATTTGTACAGCCGGACCAGTTTGTACAGTCAGACCAGACTTTGTATAAAAAAAACAGTCAGACAAGATTTGTACAGTCCAGAGCGCAGATTTGTAACACTCAGACCAGATTGGTACACTCGACCCGATTTGGTACAGTCAGACAGAATTTGTACAGTCGGACAGCAAGAATTTGTAACAGGTCAGAACCAGATTTTATACTGACGGCAGATTTGTACAGTCAGACGCAGATTTGTAAACAGTAGACCAGATTTTGTACAGGTAAACCTAGATTTGTACAATCAGACCAGATTTTGTACACGGTCGAAACCAAGATTTGTACAGTCGGACAGATTTGTTACATCTCAGACCAGATTTGTACAGTCAGACCAGATTTGTACAGTCGGACCCAGATTTGTACAGTCAAGACAAGATTTGTTATATCTCAGACCAGATTTGAGCAGTCAGCCAGATTTGGTACAGTCAGAACCAAGATTTGTACAGTCAGACCAGATTGTACAGTCAGACCAAGATTTGTTCAGTCAGAACCAGATTTGTACACTCAACCAGATTTGTAACAGTCAGAACCAGATTTTGTACAGTAACCTAGATTTTGTAACAGTCAGACCAGATTTGTACATTTGTACATCTCAACCCGAATTTTGTAGCAGTCAGACCAGAATTTGGTTTACAGTTGGAACGCAAGATTTGTACAGAAGGACAAGATTTGGTACACTCAGAACCAGGTACTGTATGACCAGATTTGGTACAATCAGACCACTTTATATTGTCATGATTTGTATAGACCAGGAGTGGTTGTACAGTATGACCAGATTTGTACAGTGACCAGATTTGTACAATCAGACCAAGATTTGTACACCTCAGACCAGATTTTGTAATTGTATGACAGATTTGACAGTCAGACCAGATTTGTAAATCAGTATGACGCAATTTTGTACAGTCAGAACCAGCTTTGTACATCAGAACCAGATTTGAAACAATCAGACCAGATTTTGTACACGCAACCCAGATTTGTACAGTCTGACCAGATTTGTGCAGTCTGGACCAGATTTGTGCAGTATGATATAGATTTGTACAGTAGACCTAGATTTTACAGGCAGACGCCAGACTAGATTTGTGCAAGGAATGACCAGATTTGAACAGTCGGACCAGAATTTGAAAAGCAGTCGGACCAAGATTTTGAAACAGCAGACCAGATTTGGTACAGTGCAGACCAGATTTTGTGACCAGAATTTGTACAGTCAAGAACCAGCTTTGTACATTCAGACAAGATTTGAAACAATCAGACCAGATGTGTAAACAACGCACCCAGATTGTACAGTCTGACCAGATTGTGCGCAGTCTGGACCAGATTTTTTGGCAGTATGAAATAAAGATTTTGTACAGTATGACTCAGATTTTTTACAGGCAGACCACGATTTTGTAACTGTTAGAACAGATTCTGTGTACAGTGAACAGTCCGACCAGATTGAACAGTCAGACAGAATTTGAAGCAGCACGAACCAGATTTTTGTACAGTCAAGACCAAGATTTGGTACAGTCAGACCAGTTTGTACAGTCGGACCAAGATTTGTACAGTCAGACGCAGATTTGTATACTCAGACCAATTATGGTAAGAGTCAGACCAGATTTGTTCAGTCAGACCAATTTGTACACTCAACCCAGATTTGTACAGTCAGACCAGATTGTACAGACCAGATTTGTACAGAGTCAGACAGAATTTGTATACTCAGACCCAGATTTGTAGAGTCAAACCAAGATTTGTGCAGTTCGACCAAGATTTGTCGGAGTCGACCAGATTTGTACAGTCGGACCAAAGATTTGTACACTCAGACCAGAGTCGGAAGATTTGTAACAGTCAGACTCAGAGTTTTTTCAGACCAGATTTGTGTACAGTCAAGACAAGATTTATAAAAAAAAACCAGATTTTGTACAGTCGGACCAGATTTGTACAGTCAGACCAGATTTGTATACTCAGACCAGATTTGTACAGTCAGACCAGATTTGTACAGTCAGACCAGATTTGTACAGTCAGACCAGATTTGTAACAGTCAGACCAGATTTGTTCAGTACAGACAGTCAGACCAGATTTGTACACTCAACCCAGATTTGTACAGTCAGACCCAGATTTGTACAGTAAACCTAGATTTTGTACAGTCAGACCAGATTTGTACAGTCGGACCAGATTTGTACACTCAACCCAGATTTGTACAGTCAGACCAGATTTGTACAGTAGGACCAGATTTGTACAGAAGGACCAGATTTGTACACTCGGACCAGATTTGTACTGTATGACCAGATTTGTACAATCAGACCAGCTTTATATTGTCAGACCAGATTTGTATAGTCAGACCAGATTTGTACAGTATGACCAGATTTGTACAGTATGACCAGATTTGTACAATCAGACCAGATTTGTACACTCAGACCAGATTTGTATTGTATGACCAGATTTGTACAGTCAGACCAGATTTGTACAGTATGACCAGATTTGTACAGTCAGACCAGCTTTGTACATTCAGACCAGATTTGAACAATCAGACCAGATTTGTACACGCAACCCAGATTTGTACAGTCTGACCAGATTTGTGCAGTCTGACCAGATTTGTGCAGTATGATAAGATTTGTACAGTATGACCAGATTTTTACAGGCAGACCAGATTTGTACTGTTAGACTAGATTTGTGCAGGATGACCAGATTTGAACAGTCGGACCAGATTTGAACAGTCGGACCAGATTTGAACAGCACGACCAGATTTGTACAGTCAGACCAGATTTGTACAGTATGTCCAGATTTGTACAGTCAGACCAGCTTTGTACATATTCAGACCAGATCTTTGCAAACAATCAGACCAGATTTGTACACGCAACCCAGATTTGTACAGTCTGACCAGATTTGTGCAGTCTGACCAGATTTTTGCAGTATGATAAGATTTGTACAGTATGACCAGATTTTTACAGGCAGACCAGATTTGTACTGTTAGACCAGATTGTGTGCAGGATGACCAGATTTGAACAGTCGGACCAGATTTGAACAGTCAGACCAGATTTGAACAGCACGACCAGATTTGTACAGTCAGACCAGATTTGTACAGTCAGACCAGATTTGTACAGTCAGACCAGATTTGTATACTCAGACCAGATTTGTAGAGTCAGACCAGATTTGTTCAGTCAGACCAGATTTGTACACTCAACCCAGATTTGTACAGTCAGACCAGATTTGTACAGTAAACCTAGATTTGTACAGTCAGACCAGATTTGTATACTCAGACCAGATTTGTAGAGTCAGACCAGATTTGTTCAGTCAGACCAGATTTGTACACTCAACCCAGATTTGTACAGTCGAACCAGATTTGTACAGTCGGACCAGATTTGTACACTCAGACCAGATTTGTACAGTCAGACCAGATTTGTACAGTCAGACCAGATTTGTACAGTCAGACCAGATTTGTACAGTCAGACCAGATTTGTACAGTCAGACCAGATTTGTACACTCAGACCAGATTTGTACACTCAGACCAGATTTGTACAGTCAGACCAGATTTGTACAGTCAGACCAGATTTGTACAGTCAGACCAGATTTGTATACTCAGACCAGATTTGTACACTCAGACCAGATTTGTACAGTCAGACCAGATTTGTACAGTCAGACCAGATTTGTACAGTCAGACCAGATTTGTACAGTCGGACCAGATTTGTACAGTCAGACCAGATTTGTACAGTAGATTTGTACAGTCGGACCAGATTTGTACAGAAGGACCAGATTTGTACACTCAGACCAGATTTGTACTGTATGACCAGATTTGTACAATCAGACCAGCTTTATACAGTCAGACCAGATTTGTACAGTATGACCAGATTTGTACAGTATGACCAGATTAGTACAATCAGACCAGATTTGTACACTCAGACCAGATTTGTATTGTATGACCAGATTTGTACAGTCAGACCAGATTTGTACAGTCAGACCAGCTTTGTACATTCAGACCAGATTTGAACAATCATACCAGATTTGTACACGCAACCCAGATTTGTACTGTCTGACCAGATTTGTGCAGTATGATAAGATTTGTACAGTATGACCAGATTTTTACAGGCAGACCAGATTTGTACTGTTAGACCAGATTTGTGCAGGATGACCAGATTTGAAAAGTCGGACCAGATTTGAACAGCACGATCAGATTTGTACAGTCAGAACAGATTTAATACTGTCGCCATTAAATGATATCTGGGGTTCATTTTGGTACAGGTCAATTTCTCCACTTTCAGGAGGGTGATCCTATGGAACATGCATCATATTTCATATCAAAGAAAAATCTGCTTCATTCAGTATTTCAAAAAGTAATTGTTCTATTGTGAAAAATTTTAATAGCTATATAAGTACTCTATTAGTGCTGACAGCTTGGCAATCTAACCAGGCATTGTGCCATTCACTCATGTTGATCAATTTTAGTGTTTTTTTAATTTACACCCTTAAACAGGCATCAGAACATATTAACTGCTGGAAAAAATAAAATGCATAAAAAGATGCATGGTTCATTTTTGGTGCTGTCCAATAGATAAAAGTAAATCAGGCAACAGTATGTAGAGCCTGGTTGTAATGTACAGATACCAGTTAAGCTGGCATTGAGGCTTAACCACTTTATTTCTAGCAGGGTCACTGTGTAATGATGACAGTAATGTTGTATCACAGTATTTGCATTTACTGAATGCTGACCTGCTGATTGCTGGAATATTCTCATATCAACAGATGTGATCAGATATTGAGTGATCTATGAATTATTGATAATCTCGTTATTATACTATCATCATGTAAACACTACAATCAATCGTGTGATATTAGGTTAGCAACAAAATATATTATGAAAGTCATTACAGTGCTGAATTATTCTCTTACATTGTTGCATTAAAATATCAACAGCACCATGAGTAGTCAGTTGATAGAACATATATAATAATAGAATATAAAGATATTTAGGGGGCCACATATTTGTTAAGATCAGATTGAATTTTGGCAGGGAATATGGAAATATCCCTAGTCAACTAGTTAAATTGAGGGAAATTGTAGCAAATAATTTAATTGTAGGGTTTATTGGAAACAGATGCCTTGATAAAATGCAGTTTAAGATGGCAATAAGAGATAGTTGTAGGCATTGCATGCTATATGTAGATTAATCAATGTAACGGGGAATACGTCTAGAAATGCTTGCCGCGTGACAACATACAATGAGCATGTCACATGCAAGAAAAGAGAAAGAGGAGAGTAAATTTCCCAGTGGTCATTAATCATAACCAAATACATTATTATCATTAGGTATGCAGCGACTAATAGGGTATTGTTTGGAATATTTGTGGTGATAGTCAGAAATGGTTCCTTTTGTCTGGCTTTATAGTAGATTGTTCATTTGCATTAGCAGACATATGCAAGTTTATATTTTGCTGGGTAACGTTTATATGTTATTATATTAAAATCCTTAATTTCTCTTTTCAGAATTATAAGGAATTTTTCAAGTTTTTCATAATTTATGGATTATTTCATTTCTCTGAATCTATTCCTAATTCTGTTACACTAACTTATCAGGTCTCGTAGATCTTTAATTTACTGACAGTTATCATAACCTTTTAATGGGTTTCATCTACTTTGGGTGGAGTAACACGTTTGATGGACTTCTACTTTTGGTGGGTTAACACCTTTGATGGACTTCTACTTTAGCTGGGGTTACAATCCTTTGGACAATTACTTTGGGTGGGTTAACACCTTTGATGGACTTCTACTTTGGGTGGGGTTACACCTTTGATGGACTTCTACTTTAGCTGGGGTTACAATCCTTTGGACAATTACTTTGGGTGGGGTTACACCTTTGATGGACTTCTACTTTGGGTGGGTTAACACCTTTGATGGACTTCTACTTTAGCTGGGGTTACAATCCTTTGGACAATTACTTTGGGTGGGGTTACACCTTTGATGGACTTCTACTTTGGGTGGGTTAACACCTTTGATGGACTTCTACTTACAATCCTTTGGACAATTACTTTGGGTGGGTTAACACCTTTGATGGACTTCTACTTTGGGTGGGGTTACACCTTTGATGGACTTCTACTTTAGCTAGGGTTACAATCCTTTGGACAATTACTTTGGGTGGGGTTACACCTTTGATGGACTTCTACTTTAGCTAGGGTTACAATCCTTTGGACAATTACTTTGGGTGGGTTAACACCTTTGATGGACTTCTACTTTAGCTGGGGTTACAATCCTTTGGACAATTACTTTGGGTGGGGTTACACCTTAGATGGACTTCTACTTTGGGTGGGTTAACACCTTTGATGGACTTCTACTTGGGTGGGGTTACACCTTAGATGGACTTCTACTTTGGGTGGGTTAACACCTTAGATGGACTTCTACTTTGGGTGGGGTTTCACCTTAGATGGACATCTACTTTGGGTGGGATTACACCTTAGATGGACTTCTACTTTGGGTGGGGTTTCACCTTAGATGGACATCTACTTTAGGTGGGTTAACACCTTAGATGGACTTCTACTTTGGGTGGGGTTTCAAGTCATCAATGCTGAAAACAGATTTTTCTATTTTTCTTCTTTTAAGGACTTCACTGAGGTTTTTTAACATGACATGACTGAAAGTTTGTCAAGATTGCCAATGATGTAGGTCTAAATCAATAATTGTCTGTTGAAAATTGTAGATCATTTGCTCTTCTTGTTTTTCAAGACCGATTATTTTAATTATAGTGAAAAATGACCCAAAAAAGGAAATGCATTTGAATGCTTTTTTCAAAGAATTGCACAAAAAGTTGGTATCATACAAAAAGTCTATTTCCAATTTAATAAGCATAGATATATTTCTTTATTATCCTTTACATATTTTTCCATTTTATATGGCCCATTTGATGTAAAAATTTCAAATTTTAGGTTTTTTAGGCTTGTTAACCTCAGTGGGGTTTCTTCTGGGAGAGGAACATTCTGTTTATGTTATATTTTGTCATGGTTACAATTACATCATACAGAATTATACGTGTCTGTTATTTTGTTTTATCACAGGGATATCAAGGACCGTACAGTATTACGTGTACATGAATGTGACAGTGAGGAGCCGCAGCGGGTTCATGAGAAGCCCGAGGTCAGAGGTCGAACTATACAAATACCAGCAGGATCTCAGGGCTTCTATGGCACACTACCAGCTTCAGCAATCACTAGTCAGGTAATGCACCCCTGTATCTAAATTCCATAATGTTTGCTAACATCTGAAATTATCTTTTGGTGATTCTTATAAGGCTTTATCTTAAGTGTAAAATTTGCTGCTTCATTTTTAATTTCCTCTTTTTTTGCAGAATTAAGATTTTAGCAGTGAACAATTATTTCTGAAATGTTTGAAGACAAAATTTAGGATATTGTATAAGCAATATGTGAACATCATATTATTAACTTTTTACCATTTGCAATTTAATTTATGTAGGTCATCAGAAATAAAATGTATAGACTATGTTATCTGTTACAGGTCCATCATAAAGCACAGACACTGCCCTCGCATATGCACCATCCTGTTTACATGTCACATGATGACATTAGCCAATCACCAGCCAGAACGGCTTATGAAAGGTCAAGGTCACTTACCCCTGACCCTATTAGATCAGCAAACTATGCTCAGAACCCTATATATGGAAGAATGGGTATTTCCCCAGAAAGACCCCCACCACCACAAGATAGAGTAGGACCACCTGACCGACCTCTTGTACTTAGAACTATTCCAGAGAACAACCTAATGATGAATGGCATAAAGAATGGTGCGGAATATTATGATTATATGGATGGATATGGTCGACCATCTGGTGCACCATCACCACGGCAAAGTTCCCGACCTTCTCCTCGACAAGCTATGTCCCCGCCGGCTATACCATCAGTACCAAGAGTAGAACCTACACGACGAGCTTTCTCCCCGCCGCCAAATCTACAAAACTATGATTATATTCAGGTACAATGTATATAATTTTGAGTACATTTATAAACATTAATGTTAGCAAATCTTTTTTTTGTTAGTATTTTACACTGAGATAAATATGTTAAACTGGTACATATATACTACAGTGTATGTTGTTAATAATTGCAGGTTATTCCCAGTAGTCAAGCCTCACATAGTCAAGGCACGTATATTGTGAAAGGTGCTAGAGCTAATACTGTTGTTACTCCTCAGCGAGCTACTGTAGCATCACAACCAACAACAAAAGCCTCATCACATCAGCCTCAGACAGGACAGTCCCAGAATATCCCTCAGCAATCTTGGCGTAAGTTTATACTCAGTCTTAGTACTCTTCTGCTACACAACAAAGCATTCATCAATGTTATAATAATTACAGAAGCATTATTTCATAATTATAATGTACTGATTATAAACTTGTAATTTCTTTAACTAGAAATATTTTTACAGAAAGTAAATGAAAATTAGAAAGTTGTTCAGCAATTTTGTGATAAAATGACAGACACGATATTTAGTTGACTAAATTTTCTGAAACAAAGGTAAAGGTATAAGGTAATTACAATGAAATTTTATTCGTGTGGAGTCAGCATATAATTAAAATATTAGATGTCTGCTTTATAATATAAGTGTTGTTCCTCAAGGTCATCAGAAATGCTAGTTGTGTTCATAGTCCTGACTGATATGCTAAAAATATGTTCTGAAATATTAAATAACAATAGATTTTTCAGCAATACTCTAATGTTGAAAATACTGAATTTAATTGGGAGAGTACACAGCTGTCAAAACTATATTGCTGAGACTGTCTGAGTCTTATTAAGAGATTTATACACGTCAGAGTAGCCTGGCCGGAAGGTGATAATCGGCCTGCAAAATGAATAATGGCTCTGAGGGCTTCAGTCTGAGGGCATTATTCATTTCAGGGCCGATTATCACCTTCTGGCCCTACTCTACTCTAAAAAGTACTTTGAAATTTCTTTCATTGAAATTCCTGTCTGCATTTCTACTGTATTGTACAGTTCAGTAACTTCTACAGAGTTGTTTACTTTTTGTGTGTTCAAAGTGCACGACTGTAGAATCTAGAAGCAAGTTTTATTTTAATTTTTTTCGGAATGAATTTGTTGTATTATTTCTTTAAATTTCAATGGTAATAAAACTGTGTTTGTACTAAATCGGCTTAAGCTCTCATAATAAATTCAAGCGAACCTACTTTCACTTTTACAGTTAACTGTTTGATGAGGTAAACTATGACGTCATTGTTTCAGTTTGTGCACGTGCACATGTTCAGTGGACTGATTACTAGTTCTCGGCCCGTAAACTCGTAAAGTCGTAAACTCCTAATAGGTCATGTGACACTCACAATCAGTTGAAATCATAGGCGATTTTGTTACTATATATAGTAACAATTGTATTAAATAGGTTAAAATATCATTGTTGACTAGGAGAGTTATCAGGATAATGTTTGTTTAATGAATTGTATAAGGATCATCTATATTATAGGTGAAAGGTCACCAGTAGGGAGACATTCATTACCAATGTCTTCAGTTCCGTACAGTGGGTCTGGCACAATTCATCAGCGATCTCAGAGTTACAGGGTACCTGGCACATCAGATAGGGAACCATTACTTGTTACCCGGCCACGCAGTATGACACCCTCACCACTAGACATGCAAGATGTGGATACTACAAGGTAAATGAATACAAGTACTGTAAATAACATCATAATGTATGTTACCAGAGTGTACATATTTTAAAATAACGTTACTATGTATGTTACCAGAGTGTACATATTTTAAAATAACCTCACTATGCATGTTACCAGAGTGTACATATCTTAAAATACATCACTATGTATGTTACCAATGTGTACATATCTTAAAATAACATCACTATGTATGTTACCAGAGTGTACATACCTTAAAATAACATCACTATGTATGTTACCAGAGTGTACATACCTTAAAATAACATCACTATGTATGTTACCAGAGTGTACATATCTTAAAATACATCACTATGTATGTTACCAGAGTGTACATATCTTAAAATAACATTACTACCTATGTTACTAGAGTGTACATATCTTTAAAATAACCTCACTATGTATGTTACCAGAGTGTACATATTTTAAAATAACCTCACTTTATATGTTACCAGAGTGTACATACCTTAAAATAACATCACTATGTATGTTACCAGAGTGTACATATTTTAAAATAACGTTACTATGTATGTTACCAGAGTGTACATATTTTAAAATAACCTCACTATGTATGTTACCAGAATGTACATATCTTAAAATAATGTTACTATGTATGTTACTAGAGTGTACATATCTTTAAAATAACCTCACTATGTATGTTACCAGAGTGTACATATTTTAAAATAACATCACTATGTATGTTACCAGAGTGTACATATCTTAAAATAACGTTACTATGTATGTAACCAGAGTGTACATATTTTAAAATAACCTCACTATGCATGTAACTAGTGTGTACATATCTTAAAATAACATCACTATGTAACCAGAGTGTACATATCTTAAAATAACCTCACTATGTATGTTACCAGAGTGTACATACCATAAATTAACCTCACTTTGTATGTTACCAGAGTGTACATATTTTAAAATAACCTCACTATGTATGTTACCAGAGTGTACATATCTTAAAATAACCTCACTTTATATGTTACCAGAGTGTACATATCTTAAAATAACGTTACGTTGTGTGTAACTAGAGTGTTTATACCTTAAAATAACCTCACTTAATAATGTATGTTACCAGAGAGTACATATCTTAAAATAACGTTACTATGTGTGTAACTAGAGTGTTCATACCTTAAAATAACCTCACTTTGTATGTTACCAGAGTGTACATATTTTAAAATAACATCACTTTGTATGTTACCAGAGTGTACATATTTTAAAATAACATCACTTTGTATGTTACCAGACTTTTTACTCTTGGCTGATAAATTTTAGCACTTTAATATTGAAATCTTTTAAATTAAATACAGACATAAAGCAAGGCTTGTCCATCATTTTTTGTTGTTGGCAGATGAAAAGCTAACACATAAAGGAATAAAATATACATGTACAGTCTAACTTGCCCATGCGACCACGTGTATTAAGCGACTTTTGTCTTAAACGACCACTTTAAATTCCCCCCAATCATTTTCTCTCTATATCTTTAATGTATTAAGCGACTTTTGCTCAACGCGACCAGCGACCGCTAATTAGTCACCTAATTGAGATAAAGCTTTTCATTAAACGACCACTTTTACCTGTCAAGTAATTGTGTTTTTAGAGAACGCCGCCGTGTAATGTGACAAGTGTCAACAATCAAAACACAACAAATAAACGTGTGAAAATCTCTATTTCCCAAACCGGTTTAGCGTATGCAAATGAAGGTAAGTATACGCGTGACGTTTATTATCCAATAATATCGGATAAACAATGCAACGCTCCGCCCCTACTGAGATGGTGTATACGCTTGGCTTGTTGACATTTAGACTGCATTGAATTGACCTTGAACTTGATCAGCAGTTAAATTTATCGTAACAATTAGATGTAGTTTGTTTATCTCAAATAAAAAATGCACAACAGAAAACATCTTCACTATTAGGGGTTTCGTGTTGGAGACAAGGAAAAGCAACGGAGAAGTTAACAAATTCTGGAAAAAATGTCACACATGTACGTAATAGATCAAAACTGTTTTGCACCCCGTTTTGTCAATAAATATCAGAAAGTTATTTTTTACATTTGCATCCATTTAGATTATCGGAGCGTACTAATTATTCAACATTTATATAAAAATGAAGTTAAAAAGCATTCCTACCGCATAAGAAAGATGTCATTTATAAATTTTGACTTTTATATCATGCTGACTGTCTTAAGAGACCGTTTCATTAAGCGACCGTTTTGGGTGTTTCCCTTGCGCGGTCGCTTAATACACGTTTGACTGTATATAGATACAGTGACAGTAATACTAATAGGGATCAAACATCTTTTAACTTTGTCAATGCTACATGGTGCAAGAGCTTAAATTAGATCTTCCGGGAAAATATTCTGAAAGGATATAGATAAATATCAATTAAGATAGAATTAGAGGTGATAGATACAGTTTATCAGTGACTTTACTTGAATATTTCATAGACGTTACAGATCCGTTCTACTGAAGATTGATTTTCTCTGTTATATTAATTTGTCAGATTGTTTAGATTTCTTACCATATTACTATACTCTACTATACTCTACTATATCATTCTTCGAGGGTTACATTGTAGACTGTGAGGAAGTTGTCTTACTTTCTTACAGAACAAATACAACTTTATACTTGTGCCTGAAATAATGCTTAACCGATATCCTGCTAAATATGTGTAATTGATTTGCACTGCTTTAAATGTGGTCATTGTTCCGTTGTCATGAAAACATCAGCAGCAAAATCCAGAGACATGAATTTCAATTTACACAATTATCCTTCTTATAATAACTCAGTCTGTCAAATATTTTCTTTATGAACATTGTTTACTACTTTTGATGTTGTTATTTGTCAGGAAAAGACATAATTATTGAGAAAGCTGGAGTACTGCTTGTTAAACAACATATTTTCATATTTTTTAATGTTGACTGAAGTATAATGGAGCTTTTCCAGTATGTCTTACCTGTGTGTTAAACTAGGCTCACATATTCTGACTAAAACAAGGTACACATGTATTATACCTATTATAGCATAAAATCGGCTATTTTTCCCTCTTTTGCCCATGTTATAACGGGACCAAAACCATGTGTTAACATAGTCACACGCTCTTGTTATAGCCCGGTTTCACCTATGCGCAATACATACAGGGCCCAGTAAACAAACAAACAAAAAATGACGATTTGGCCTGTTTGCCGAAGAGTCATGCGCTCTTGTTATATTGAAATTAATTGATTCGAGGGCCTAAGTCGCATATTCCAGTAACTATGCCGGAAAAACGGCGTATAGACATCGGTGCTAATCTTGGTTGTCGCCCTTTCTAAGAAACGGACAGTTGTCAATGTAAACAAATACAGTAGAATCTACAGGTCTGTCATTCAGTTTAACACTCCGATTAACTTACAAAAGTAGATAACACAAAATTAATATGAGAAAATGTTTTTTATTTATGTTAATGTTGATAAATGCTCTTTATATTTCTTTGAGAGAATAATGCTTAGTGCCTGATTTTTTTATAAACTTGTTTGCTTGAAAAAAAAACCGATTCTGATGTCACTGATCTTTTTTCTACCGTCAATCTGAAATCACTCTAAGAATTTCTGAGGGTCATGTTTTGTCTTGGGTAGAGGATAGAGTAATATATGTAACGTTTTTTTTCTTGAGATAATAAATCTCCAAAGGCCAAGCTTTGTTAAATCAATTAAAATTCAAAATTTCGTTCGGTTCCGAGAATTTTCCAAGTTGTTGGCCCCGGAAAAATGAAACGCATACGTAAAACATAGAATTGGATAAATACCGTCCAAGCACAAGAATTTAATGTAATTGTGTTTTGTATAAACTATACATCACAAATCTGTTTGAAAATTTTATGCTATAATAGCATCAACGCACATTTATTTCGTGTTATAAAGTCTGAAGAGTCCCTCGGAACTGTTGGAGCCCTCGCCCTACCGGGGCTCGGGCACCAACCGTTCCTCGGGACTCTGCAGACGTTATAACACGGAAAACATGCGTTAACCCTATAAAACAGGACACACATGTATTCTGCTAAAACAAGATACACATGTGTTCTGCCTAAAACAAGGTACACATGTAGTCTGCCTAAAATAAGGGTACACATGTATTCTGCCTAAAACAAGGTACACATGTATTCTGCCTAAAACAAGGTACACATGTATTCTGCCTAAAATAAGGTACACATGTATTCTGCCTAAAACAAGGCACACATGTATTCTGCCTAAAACAAGGCACACATGTATTCTGCCTAAAATAAGGTACACATGTATTCTGCCTAAAACAAGGCACACATGTATTCTGCCTAAAATAAGGTACACATGTATTCTGCCTAAAACAAGGCACACATATTCTCACTAAAACAAGGTACACATGTATTATACCTAAAACAGGACACACATGTGTTCTGCCTAAAACAAGGCACACATGTATTCTGCCTAAAATAAGGCAAACATATTCTGACTAAAATAAGGTACACATGTATTCTGCCAAAAAAACAGGCACACATGTATTCTGCCTAAAACAAGGCACACATGTATTCTGCCTAAAATAAGGTACACATGTAGTCTGCCTAAAACAAGGCACACATGTAGTCTGCCTAAAATGAGGGTACACATGTATTCTGCCTAAAATAAGGTACACATGTATTCTGCCTAAAATAAGGTACACATGTATTCTGCCTAAAATAAGGTACACATGTATTCTGCCTAAAACAAGGCACACATGTATTCTGCCTAAAATTAGGTACACATGTATTCTGCCTAAAATAAGGCACACATGTATTCTGCCTAAAATAAGGTACACATGTATTTTGCCTAAAATAAGGCACACATGTATTCTGCCTAAAACAAGGCACACATGTATTCTACCTAAAATAAGGTACACATGTATTCTGCCTAAAACAAGGCACACATGTATTCTGCCTAAAACAAGGTACACATGTAGTCTGCCTAAAATAAGGGTACACATGTATTCTGCCTAAAATAAGGTACACATTTATTCTGCCTAAAATAAGGTACACATGTATTCTGCCTAAAACAAAGCTGTATTTTTTCTGTCTAAAAGAAGGCCCACATGCATTCTGCCTAAAGAAAGGGACGCATGTGTTTTTACAGCATGTACAAGGTAAAATTAAGTATTTTGGAGACTAATCCAGGAAAAAGTAAGACTATAGTAGACTGTGTATGATTGTAGCATTGTGTTAACTGCTTGCTGTCTGATAATTCTTTATAACAATAAAGTAGAAGTTAAAATATAGAATATTATATATATACGAAATGTCTTCATGTTTTTATGTCTTGGGCATAGAGTCTGTAAAAGGGATTTTATTAGGCAGGGCATCATGAAAAATGAATAAAACATTGGGACTGATGTATACTGCAGACACATTTATATACACTGTGTATCCCTTTTAATATTGTACTGTAATTGAACGTACGCATAACCCAAAACACTCCGTTAGAATAAATTCACTAGAGGAAAGACAGAATATATATATACACTGGAGTAATAACAAATCTTATCTTAAATTTAGGCTTCCAGACTCTTTTAAAAGACAATAATATTGATTAATGGCTCTAGGAGATTTTCTCTCTACTATTGTACAAGTTGTTGCCTTTCTTGTTGGCGCACACAGAGGCGGGAAATCTCTCCATATATAGCCATATACAAAATATCAGCAGATGTTAGAATCAACATGTTCTAGTATGATTTAGGTGAAAATTGCAGCATTTATGGATACCTTAAGGGTAAAACTTGTTCCTAACAAAAGAAAAAGAAAAAGTAGCATCTTATTGACCATAACTTGTATTAATTTAAAGTCTGTTATTGGTGAAGTCAGTATTCAACCAGTTGCAACCACATACTCATTATTCACTTGAAAATTCCTGGTATATGTATAATTGCTGCAACCTCATTATTTGCTAGAAAATTTCTTGTTAAGGTTTTTCACTTTTGTTATTTACTCATGTGTGAGGGTCATAATTTTACGTCACTGTCCACTGTATTGTGAATCATAGAATAGTTGATGGTAGCACTGTCTGTCTGTTAACTTACCCAGTATAATAAACATGTCTATTATATATATTGCAGGGATCGTATTGACAAAATGGAGCATCAGCTTGCCCATCTTGCAGCGTGGGTACAGACAGCAGTTGTACAATCATCCAGTAGTACAGGAGCACCATCTAGTGTTAAAAGTACAAGTAGTGTAACGTCTGATACAAGCCCGCTGTTAGACTCAGCTAGTGGTAGTAAGTTAGCTGCTAATTCTGCTTTATCATTTCCTTTAATGTAGCATTAAACAAAAATATCAAATTAGATGATATTACAATGTTATAATTTTAGCAGAGAGTCAGCTGATTTAGCATATTAAGCTAACTGGTTACCTCCATCATCCAGCATCAACAAAAGACATCTCTAAATCTACTGGTCATTCTTGTTTACTGGTATATTGTCTGCCTAAACATAGAATACATGTTTTACCAAAATAAAGCTTAGACTCATAGAATTATGATTATGCTACTATTTTGTATGAGTTTGTATGTTATATTACTGGTTTAAATGGTTCCTTAGGGTTTAAAGTGGCATGCCTCCAGATGAGTTTTTTTCAGCTTTATAGTTCACAGTACACAGATGCCCTCTAATGCCTAAGGTCTTCTAGTACTGGTTAAGCTGGACAATTACAATTTGAATAGTCACACAATTCTTGACATGGGAAAAAAAATGTAATATAAAGTTGCTGTGTTCTACTTATTATGAACCAATATACCATTAACAATTTTCTTGAAGCAGAATTCCTATACATTGTTTATTGTTGGAAGGAAACATAAACAATGAGTTTTGATTGCTTTACAATAATGCAGTATATAGTTTAAACATCATTAAATCTTGCCTAACAGCCAAGAAATGACATTATGTCATAATGCAGCAGACATTAAAATTATTGTCTTCCGAAATCAATCAACAGAGTTAAACTTTCTACACTGACCTCAGCAGTAAAATAAAGCTGCAGTTACCATGGGGATAATTTAGCAATTTATTTTATGAAAATGACAAGTAAAATTACTTAATCAAAAAAGAAAACAAAAAAAACTCCCAAAACAAACAACACAACAAAACAAAAGAAGATGCAAATCTGTTGAAGATTTTTGTGAATATGTATCTATTTCAAACATGTTCATAAGTTAAAATACACCAAAACAACACATATTTATTTTAAAATCTTTACTAGTTTCGACTGTTGTCTTCATCAGAATAACGTACAAAGTATTTGACGTCACGTCCGTTAGGACGCCAACGTCAACGTGACAAAATTGCGCAAAAACGTGAATGTAAAGTAATTAACAAATAGATATGGATCAAAAAGATACAGCGGGTATTAATAATAGAACTATATTTCTACAATATAAAGCAGAGAAAAATGATAAAACCCAACATACCTATATGTCAAAATATATCATATAATTTTATATATACATTCACTGGGAATTAGCAAGAAAGCATTACTTTAATTAGCCAGCAAGTTATCTAGAATAATAAAAAAGATAATAATAATGATATAATAACAACAACAACATTATCCATTACATATAATCATCATCATCACCAACACTAATTTGTAAAATAAAATCATTATATAGATAATTAGTTTTACAAATTATCTTATTCATTTATTCATTATTATTATTGGTGTTATTATTATTATTATTTGTGTTGATGATGATGATTATATGTAATGGATAATGTTGTTGTTATTATTATATCATTATTATGTTTTTTTATTATTCTAGATAACTTGCTGGCTAATTAAAGTAATGCTTTCTCGCTAATTCCCAGTGAATGTGTATATATAAAACATGTTCATATAAATTTTCAATTATACTCATTCCTTGATTGCTATTTGAAGCTTCATGTACATGCACATTTTTATTTGATTTCCATGGTGATGATATTTTATCAGACACTAATTAGAAAATCTGTTGATTTGTTTTTGTTGGGTTGTAACATTATACCTTTACAAGCTGTTATTTGAGAATATTTTGTATGTTGTTTGATGGTGAATTTTTATGAAACATTGTTGACTGTATTATATTTGTGGTGTTGGAAATACTAAACAGTATTCTAGCTTAGCTTAACTCTACAAACTCTATGCTTGTAGTGGAAATGACAGTGTTTTGTGCTGCAGCCAGGCCTAGATTGATTTTGATGGCTTTTTGATTTAGATTTTTTGTTTTTGAAATTTGTAGATTTACTAAGAACAATAATTTTATTATTACAAAATTTAAAGATGATGGAGAGTTGGTCTAGTGGGTAAGGTATCAGGTTGTTGTTGCAGATATGATGAGTTTGAGTCCTACTGGTTTCAAGGTCATGTTACCTCATGGTTTTCTAGCAAAGTCATGTTACCACATGGTTTTCCATCAAAGTCATGTTTCCTCATGGTTTTCCATCAAGGTCATTTTTCCTCACGGGTTTCCAGTACTCTTGAGCGCTTCAGTTAAGCTCTACCCTTTCATTACAAATATTTTAACTACAGTCATTGCCAGGCAAAGTTGGTATTTTGATATGTAAATCAATTGTCTTTACAAACAATTTACAAATTACAGGTCATTTATTACTTTTGCAAAAAGTAAAGAACACAGGTTGAACTTTGTACTGTTGTCAATTTTGTTTGCTCAATAGATACCTGTTTGTTACAGTTATTTATTTATCTCCTTATACCATGTAAAAGCAACACCAGAACAGGTTCTAAAGGTAATACCTAATTACTTAATAATATTTTATTGAATGTATAAGGTTTGCTTGCTATGCCTATCTAACATTATATTTGCAGAAATTGAGGCAGAGGTGAGGGGCTTTAGGGAGCTTCAAGGTATTGTCTATACTTGTATCATTAAAATATGCATGTCATTGTAGATGATATATATATATATATATAAGTATACATATACATGTATATTGAGGTTATTAAACATTGTCAAGTACATTACTGAGTACACAAACCTGTATTAGACCAGGTACTAGCCAAGTCTAATACAGACTTTACAGCCGTATGCAAATCCAATACGATCAGTATTGATAAATTTCACATCACCAAATTTTTGACATTTTAACTGAAGTTTGTTACTTCAAGTACTTTAAGGATTTGATATGAATTTGGACTTTGAAAATAGTACAATATTGATGTGATCGGGATTGTTTGGATGCGTAATATGAAAACCAAGCTAGATTGAACAATTTTTTTGATTGCTTAACTAATTTTCATTTGGGTCTGTATTAGCAGAGCAATTGTTTTTCTTCTAAAGTTATATCATTATTGATATCAACATATTACAGTAAGACAACACTTGTACCAATTCATTTGACAAATAAAGATTGTGTTGATTAACCATACAAAAAGTTTAAAAGAAATTTTATGCAATGGAAAAATATATCATTAAATAAAATGTTTTTGGCTGGTCAACAATTGAAATGATCTCACTGGTCATTTGAGTTGATCCAAACTGTCAAAATTAAGAATGTTTAGCCTTGATATTTTGTATCGTAACTATTTTATTGTATGTAGTGTATAATTATGTAGGTTTGACAGACATAGCTTCAGACGATACTCCAACATTGTCTCAGGACATGAAGAACAATATATTGTCTATAAAACATCAAGCAGACGCATTACGATCAGATCTACGCAGCTTACGTCGTTTACAACAAATAAATAAAGAATCCATCTTGGAAACTGTTGATGATGCATGGAGAAAAATCAGGGTAGGCTGACAGCTTATTAAAAGATAGTAACTATATACAATTTTTACTGTATCAAACGTCAAATTATATAACTGACTGGGCCTCCTTGGTTGAGCTGTTAAGTTATCCTGCTAAGTTATGGAAGTAGTTTGGTGGTTATACTCAGGTGCCCACTTGTGTCTAAAATGATTCACTTAAATTGTTTGCAAATAAAACCAAAAAAAATGAATTATAACTGACTTGTCCATTTTTGTCCCTCATTTTGAAGAAAAATGGAGAATATAGGAGAAAATAGAAATGGACTCGCAAGCATGTGCAGATCTAGCATTGATCAAGATTTTGCTCTGGAAGTCCAGATCCATACTTCCAACTTTTGAACTAGTACAAGAGTTTTCTTCAAATAAAATGGAACATTTGTAATATTTTAATATATCTTATTAACATGAGTACAGTATGAGAAATGTTTTACTGGTAGGAGGCTTTGTCTTCTGTTCCGGGTGCTGAGCATTTATTGATACGTCAACAACGAAATGAAGTGGATGTGATGTACAAAATCTACCTCGAGGATAAGGCACAGGCTGAGAAAGAACTCGGGTAATAATATATATATTTAATCTTATATCATTGATGTGTTTATACCAAAACTAAATAAAACTCATAGAATCACTATATGCCACCATATCGCAGATTTGCACCCAAATAATGTCAGTTGACATTGTAAACATGATATTGTTAAATAGCTCTGATGATTTATAGAAACCAATGAGAAATAACAGTTAATGTTAGAAATTGTTTAATATAATTTTTTTACACTAATTCTCTAATCTTTGCTTTTGGAAGAAAAAAAAGGGCTTTTGTCATGACCCTCTCATGTGTTGGCGTCTGCTTAGGTTACCGTTAACCTTAATTTAAGTTCCATTTTCCTAGAAACTATAAAAGCTATTCACTTGAATCTTGGTATGTCATGAAAGGACGCCATTTCAAAAGGGTGGATAATCCTAAAATATGTGCTATTTATTATTTAATCAAAATCTGCTGCTATTTCCTGTATAGATTCCTTCAACTTCTTTTTTTGACACAGTGCGTTGGTCAGTTTAAGGAATATCACAATTAAAATTATGATTTGGTCAGCCAACTGTTAATGTGTTGTTATACAGCATGAATGTTCAGACTAGCCTGTCACTATACTGGTGGCAAAGGCTTTACAACTTTCTGTTTTATAAAAGATAAAGATATGTTGACAGTTTATTATAGAAAAGGTCACTTTATAATTTCTATCTACAGAGATTTGGAGCATGCTGTAGAAGAGTTACGGTCTGATGTTCTATCCCGACAGTGCCGTGTACAGATGACCGATGTTGAAGGAATGGCTTTAGTACTGAGTCATGTGACTAAACAACTGGGTGACCTTAAAGGTAAACTTGATGAAATTCTTAAATTTTTTATATTGGTTCTTTCCACAGATCACAAAAACCACTGACCTCTTTGTGTAAATGGGATTGTATGTCGGTTAGATCAAGAAAAATAAATAGATTAACAATGTTTTCTAGATTTTTTAAACATGATTGGAGATGACAATACATTTGTATTGTGATTATTCTTGTTTTTAGAAAAGAACACACATGAATTGCAAATTAAATTACTTTGATTAGAATGAAATGTATTAAATATTAACTTTTGTTTATATTACAGCAAGGTTTCCGAAACTTCAAGAGAGGTTGAAGTTTGTAATGTCAGCCGAGATGGAGGTCATAATCAGGGAAGAGAAGTAAGTTGTACCTTATTCTGTAACAGTACAGGTTCCAGTTGTCTCCCTTTATACAGTCAAGAGGATTTATTACTATTATTAAAACATAATAAAGAAATTCATTTCTGGGAGAAGGTAATACAGAGTGAAGGTCATTGACTTCTATAATACTACATGTTTTTAGGATCCATACTTATTTGTGAGAAAGATTTGAAAAAGTTAGGTGTAATTTTAAAATTCCTTGTATTTTATCCAAGAATATCAGAGTTTAATTTTTTTCCCCCAGGTTTTTGAAGGAAGAACCAGAAAAACTTGACAATTCTTTGAAGAAATGTAAAAAGCTTACAGGAACTCTCTTCACACTTAAAAGGTTTGTAATTAAGTTTTTTATAGCAAAAAGCAAAAGTAAATCTTAAATTTGTTTTCATTATGTTGTATTGATATAAGAATGTGTAATGTTTATCTTTATTTTATCATCAAGTGTGATAGAGTTTAATTTATGTTTCCCTACTATTATTACCATTGTTACAAGTGATATTAAATTTGACAATGTCACATATCAGAGCAGCAGTCGGATCATTCTGTAAACTAAAAGTTACATTTTATTTTAATGTTAATGGAAGTCCAAAATACAAAATCAGGAAAAAGTCTGTAACACAACCTGAGATAGGTAAAGATTGTTATTGAAATTAAGCTCAAGAGTTAGTTATAAAACTGTAACTTAGAAACAAATAAATGTAAACATTCAACTTTAACTTTATTATTTGCTGTTTTATATAGACTGGCTTCAGTACAAGAGCATCGACCACCTCAGGTTGTAGCGTTATCAGCCCAAGCTAAAATACCAACAATGGAGGATAAGAAAGCAGTGTTACAGAATATACAGGCAATGATACCTGATCATGAGGCCAGACTTCATGGTATACAGGTATACTAGTTTTATACTTACAGAATATACAGGCAATGATACCTGATCATGAGGCCAGACTTCATGGTATACAGGTATACTAGTTTTATAACATTGGCCAGTTAGTTATGATGTCAGTGACCCAGTAAATGTGAGAAAGTTGTTAGTCATATGATTTAAAGACAGAGTTTTCACAAAGCCCTCAGAAATCTAGGTTTTATCCCTGCTAGTGTTGTGACCATGTTCCCTCATGTAAAACCAGTGCTGGTTATTTCCATGAAGCAGATTGCAGGTTCAAATTAACTTAAAACTAACTCCAAAATCCAGCATATATAAAATGTTATCCATGACAACATTTTCTATAATGTCTCATTCTTTTATGAATAGCATTGTGGAGAATAATATACAGATCATATAACTAGGAGGTCTTTTGTTGATTACTTATGTATCAAGTTTTAAATATTATCCCTGGAAGTTTATCATGTAAATAGTTTTTCACCTTATTTTGTTTCACTTGTAGGCAGCTGAAACTGCTCGCCAAATAAAGAAGAAGATAACTACTCAGCAAGAATCACTCAGATTTGGTAAATCATTAGAACTAGCCAGTAAAGCATTAAAACCTTATGGTGCTGCCCCCACTTCTCAACCAGGGGGACCAACCACTGCTGCTTCCCATCAGGCATCAACTGGAGATGTATATTCATCGTCACCGTCAGAGCTAGGTACCGATACATCATCTGTTATATCATTTGTGATGCCAATGTCTACGTCCACACCAAAGAGTGCTAGTCAACAATCTACCTCAGATAAAGAAACTTCCGCCACATCTCCATCGATGTCGTACCCAGTTATGTCCCTAGTTAGATCTGTCTCTCCTGTCAAACAACAGTCACAGTCTAAAGGTCAGACAGATACTAAAAAAGTTTATGAATATAAAGGTCAAAGGGAGGAGGGCAGAAGAAAAGAGAAAGGATTGGATGGCAAAAGTGGAAAAAATGTAGATTTTTCCGCGGAACCGGCTGTTCTTCCTGTTACATCAAGTGAGACAGCTGCTCACAAGAAGAGTGAGAAGGCACCATCTGCTGATAAATCACCAGACAAACCAAAAACTACAGAAATAAATAATCAGAAATCGGCTGCAAGGGCTGCATTTTTTAGTTCATTAGCTTCACCACATACTCCTACAACAGCATCAACACCGACATCAACTGTATCATTGTCTATAGAGTCACCAACAGAAGTGTATTCTAAGATCTCACCAGGTGTTAATGTATCACCTATCAAGGGCATTCCATCATTAGTCCGTAGTTCTGCTGTCACAATGCCATCAAGTTCACTAAGTGCATCAGTTAGTCAGTCACATGCGTCTGTAACTAAACCATCAAGCCTTCCAGTGAGTGGGTCATCAGTTGTATCATCTCAGAAATTTAGTCCAGCTTCTCCCTCTAATTCATCTCAGCAAAGCACGTCACGACCAAGGACAGCTTTCACAGCCATTCCAAAGCCATATTCACCAACAAAATCTACTCCAAGTCCATTGACACCAGAATCACCTAGATATCGTATTCCCCCTAGTCAACAAACTATAATATATTCTCATGCTGGAGCTAGGACTTCACAACTTAAACAGCCAAAAGATATATCTGCACGTCCCAAGAAAGTTCCGCCACCCCCACCACCTAGGAAAAGCAGCAAAGTTCCAGGGCATGCAGTTCTGGCAGTAAATGCAGCTACTGTGAATGGCCAATTAAAGACTAAACATTCTGATTCTAAAAGGTCACAAGAATCAAGCAAGGAACGCACAGACATTATTAAACCACCAAAGCAATTTGCAAATGTAGAATTAGACACTAAAGTGGAGAGGAAGTCAAGCATAGGATCATTAAAACAATTTACAACTCCATTATTAGAAAGTAAAAGAGATAAATCATTAGAAAGAGATCAAAAACCACCAGAAATGGTCGGCAAGAAATTTTCATCCTCAAATTTAGATACAGAAGACAAATCTTCCAAAAACATTGAAAAAGACCTTGACCTTACTAAGGAAGATCAAACTGTTTGTCCTGATTTGGAACAAAGTACTCGAAAAGTTGTTGATGGTAAAGTTACAAATATAAGTGCAGAAAAAAGTAGCAGAACATTTCATGAAGGAAGTGTAGAGAGTACAAGTAGTTCTAGTAGTCTAGACTCTCAACATGACGCTGTCTGGGTGAAGCAGAAGTATGAATCAGCAGAAACAAGCTCTGCTGTGACCCTGTCTAGTCAGGGTCAACCAGAAGATTTGTCTGTTTCAGCAGATAGTGTGGAGACTGTAATAGAAGAGAGAAATAAATCAGAAAATGTAAATGTTAAGAAGCCAAAACCGCCTCCCCCAGAACGTAGGTCAAGTTTGTCGTCTAAGTCAAGGACTGAGACAGAGGATATAACATCAGAAAGAAAGGAATCCAAAGGCAGCATTGATAGATTAGTTTAAATGTTTTGTTGTTTTGTTTACCTAGCAATATATTTATCTCCATCAAGAAAAATTATTTAGAAATTCATGTTTGCTTTTTCTAAGTAAATAAATTCAATAAAAAAAATTGTAATTTTGTTAAAACCAAATACATCAGAAATAATTATTTCAAATTTACATGTCAGTCATACCATTTTAACCTACAGTCATAATGCATAAGTTAACATCCCCATAGCAACATTGCATAATTAGTTTCATGTGTTTTGAATATAGCTCAATCTCCAACTTGAAGAGCCAAATTATGCAATTTTTTTTGAGATAGAATACATTTATTTATATTTCTCATAATTATGTAAACACTGTGAAATCATTTTATACATTTATTGTTAGACTCACCATACCTCAGTGCAATATGTTTTATTTGTTATTTAATGGACACAAATAATATACAATAATATAATATTTCTACTTTTTTTTGCGTCCTTCTTTGACATTTCTTGGCATTTCTTTTTTATTATCTTTCTTTTTCAAATGACAAATTAAACTGTAATTTTTGCAATATTTCATTTTTGTTTTTCACACATTATATGTTAGTGGTTGAACATTAATTTAGAAACTGTATCATAACATATCATTTTTGAGTTGTTCACATATTTACAGATACATATACAGTCATCTTTTTACATGATGATATGCATAATAAAGAATGTGATTTGATTTTTCAAAATTTGGAAAATTATTATTTTTATTTTCAATTTCAAGATAAATTTGCTACTCCATGTATCTATATGAATTCAAATTCTGGTGTGATTTTATAAAAGTATAAATCTCTACATGTCTGTTCAACTTGTTTTGCATATCATACTGCTTTACTTACATCAGTGTCTTTCAGATGCTGTACTCGTAAAATAATATTTAATATATTAAATGGATCTTATAGATTTGACTGTATGGATGAGTTGAGGTGTATAAGATTGTTCAATTAATTTTGTTAACTGAACAGAATGAAAAAACAGGGTACAATATGTTTTGTTTTCCATTCATTGTAAAAATTGTCCTGTTGTTTCCTTGTTTCGTACATTTCGATTCTGTTGGGCTATTCCATGGAACATTATTTAACAGGTGTACATCTAGAAATTTCTTGATAAACTGAATGTGGGACTACTGATTTTGCAGACATGAAACATTCTTAGTAGGGATTGCAACAAAGTAGCCAGTTTATTATGTAATTGATGGAGCATTCAAGTATTTGGTAACAAAATTGCCTCTCAAGGACTGAGTACCGTACTGCTAGGTTTATGTCCACTATAAACCCCTGCAAAAGTGCAAATTGACAAAGGTTAACATCTTAACATATATGTTACAACAACAACTCTTTAACTTCTCTCAATTTTGACTGCTTATGACATTTAATTACCAGTGTGTTGCCGACTTTTGTTCTAGGTACTTGTTTAATGTTAACTGCTTTGAAGGGCTAATAGCTGTCAGATTAATTGATTGATAAGACTCTAAAATCAACAATATTTGTTTTTATTCTGTGCATTTCTAGTACTTGTCAATCCTGTGTATTAATATCGAAAACAAAAGTGAATAGGCGAGGGTGACATTATCATAAATGAATAACTGTCTGGTTTTACTGAGAAAGCTGAAGGCTTCTGAGAAACTGAGTTGTTGATAGAAAGAATGCCTTAGTACTGAAATCTGTACTCATCTTACCCATCCCTAATTCTTTAACATCCTTCTTTCTATTGTTATATTATTACTTTTTAATCGTAAATATGATTGGTGAGTAAAGGTCTAGAATTGTATAAATGGAGATCTAAAATGTTGATGTATTGTATTTAATGCTGTGAGTTGATTCTATATGAAAGTTTTGTATATTTATAGTGTATTATATTTATTATATTGCATCCAAATTGTGTTCAAATTTATTATGTAACAGAGATGGTGCAAATATTTTCAAGGAATTTTGGAAACCTGATTGCTCTTGTATTGTAATTTCAAGACTAAGACTAATTAGATAAATTGAAATTTTCTAGCTTATAAGGCAAAATTAAACAAGTTCAGATTCATGATGATTTTTATGAACAGCAAACAAAGCTTGTCAGTTGGTCAGTTCTTACTAAAATTATGTTTATAATTAAGTTATAGTAAAATTGTTTCAGTATTAATTTATGGAGAAATCAAATTTGACTTTATTAAATACTGATAGAAATTCTGTCTAGTTTTTCCTTCAGTTACACGGTAACTGTCCTTGTATGTCCCTGGTCTTTGTAAAGAAAATTTTATGTTCCCTGAAGTTTTCCATTACCTCATATAGGGTTTGTTCTAACCTACCATTTCTAAAAGTACCTTTATCACCTGTCAAAGACAGAGTGATATAGATTTGGCATCTGCTTGTCTGTCATACAATCTTTCTTTCTGTCTTACATTCATCACCAAACTGTCTGTCACAGAATTGAATGGAGCATTACACTTCAATTATTTCTGTTTGGAAATGTTTATATCTTATTGAAATGCTGTGCCTAACATCTCACAATGTTACATCTCCGAGCCTAAGAATCATAACTCTCTTTGCAAAATTTCGGAGTTATTGCCCTTTTTCATACTGGGCATTACAAAGTATAACGGCTATATACTTTTAATATTATAGATTAATAGATCTCATATAGACAAAGTATTGCAAACGACACTATTTTACATAATTTTGGAGTTATTGCCCTTTCTTTTTTTCACAATTAATTTTAGTCCAAGGTATAACTCACAAAGAATTTAAGATATGAGTTGAAATTTCACACATGTTTTATATATCTCATTAATGAGAAGGGCAATAATCTTTTTTATGTGATTTTTGACTGGTAATTGTAATTTTTATGTTCATGGGGCATATAGTAAATGAACCATCTCAGCATTACAAATCGGGGATAGGGGGGGCATATAACATTAAAAACACAACAAGAGTTAATTCCAGAACTTTAAAAAGGTCAGTTGGCACCAATTAAACAAAAGAAATGGCCGCTTATCCTATTTTGGTAGCATGTCCATTTGTCTATCCATACAAAGTTAACCTAAACCACAAGTAAGATATATCTGAAGTTGTACCTGTAACAATGACTTATAATTTACACATTAACTTATCTGTCTACTATTACTTCAGTCAAGTTAGCTTTAGGTTCAGGGACCATACACAATGTTACCAGAACAGCCTTGGTCTTGAAATGAGCCATAGATGATTTTGTGCCAGAGAACGAGGTTTAATTTTACCAAATGGCAACTGTACATATCATCAAAGATATTAGTACCTTATATATTGGTAAATAGTGTGTCAGAATTTAGGTGATTCTGTTATCCGGTCACAGTCAAGTGTAAGTGGCATCTCGTTTGAGGTAGCTTACAGACTGCAGAACTTCGCGACATTTCATAGTATTGTTCGCAACATCATATTCCCAACATAGTTTTAGGCAACACAATAACCCAATGTCAGAGACATGTTATCTACATCTCTGTCAATGTCATAGTTTCAAAAAAATCTATAATAACAAGTTTCACTTTTAAAACATTTAATCATCTTTTTTTTTGTATTCAACAAAAACCTGCATACAAATTAATATACAAAAACCATCACAATTTACAGCTGATTATCTGTTCCAATTTGCCCTTAAATATATTTCCTAGTATAGTACATAGTGGCAAACATCTTTGCATATCTTTTACATCAATTTATTCTTCTTTACCGGTCTATTAATTAACAATTACAACATTCTATTCTAAAGTAACAAAATAAAAGCAAACTGTTTTTGGTTTCAATATCTTATTATAATTAGATTAACCAATGTGTCATTTACCTTAAAAGGAACTAGATGGAAGTCTTTTTATGTTATAAAAAATTAAATAAACTTGTAACAAATTCAACAAGTAAACATTCACTCTATACAAAGAGTTGCCCCCCTTTTAAATAATTTACATGGGAGTTTTGTACAAAAGAGAAATTCTACCATTTACTAAATAATAACTTTTTAAAGCACTCTTATTAAACAGATTTTCCTAAATTATTTGCTAAAATCAAATTCTCAGTAAATGTCTGTAATTGAAATGGGTTGTGATTAAAGGTCCCAGCTTTGCTAATACAGGACTATGTTGGGTATGCTCTGATATTTCAGTACTAAATGGACACGAGCTTCCTCAGTTTGTCTAATATTGTGATGTTATTTTATCAGCAACATATATACATGGAGAAACAACTAGACTTTATTTATACTGGTACTTACAATACTTATTTTAAATGTGGTTACTCTTTAAAATTTAATCTAATTTACATCTGTAAACCCAATTACAAAATCAAACAAGACATTATTAAGAGATGAAATTTTACAGCTACAAGCCTTAGAAATACCAACAATAAATGGCTGAGATGAAAACTGATATTCTTAACCCTTAACAAACTAAATATCCTAAATGGACCTGTTTACTTTCAATCTGGACAAAACCATTCATCAGTTTTGTCAACAAAATAGTGAACAGTGCAGACCATGACAGCAGAGTCATGGTTGCTAGGGTTAATTCAGTTGTAACTGGCAGGCCAACGATTAATATATAATTATTATTATATATATACAAAACCATTGTGTACAATATATCAGGTCTTTCTCCCTTCCATATATATATATGAATTTTCAGCTGTAAACAGAATTGGTTTTAAATAATGTAATAATTTCATTTCGTTTTTAATTCTCATAAGACTAAACATGTTGTACAGTGGTTGTTCTTATTAACAATTATAGATTTTATAAATACAAAATAACCTCCTCAATGTCAAATATGAAGTCTAGAAGAAAAGAATCAAAGCACAGAAGGCGCTGAATTTGTTTGGGTCTCCGAATGTCAGAAAGGTGAAGGTTGTGAGATTATAAACCAATTTGTTTTTGTATAGTACCACCAATGGTTTCCAGCGTTTTAATTGTAGTTAATTGGCTAAAAGACTAATTACAACACTGATATTCAATCCAATGTTTATTTGACTTAAACAATTTGAAAAAAAAAATGAGCTGCCTTATCTGGGATTTGAACTCCAGACCTCTCGCTTCCCAAGCGAGCGCGCAAACCCCTCGGCCACGGTGAATTTATATGTTAACAGCCTGAAGAAAACCATATTATTCTAAATTAGGGTTTGTAACGACGCTAACTGTTGTTTAACATAGTGTTATTAATCATGGCGCTAACTATAAGCATTTATATCTATAAAGAATAAAACAATATTAGAAATCTTCGACCATTCAGGAATTATTTTGCTTGAAAATTAATGCGCCTGTCATTTGACCATCTTTACGCAGTGATCTCCCTGAATTTTTCGGCGTTAGTGTACATATAAAGGGAATTAACCGCTTCAAAAAAGTGGACTACTTTCGGCATTTGCAATTAACAGCATTAGAGTCTGAAATTTCGCTACCATTATTTGTTTGGTCTGACGACCCAAACAAATAAAAATAGTTTCAACATATACATGTATTCCAAATGTTTGGACCCTTGGATTATAAAATTCAAACTTAGATTCAAGTGAGAAACATCCACCTATGTTATATGTAATAAAAAATTTAAAATAATTGGAGTTGTCTGCCTTAGAACAAGAATGGCGTACAGATTCACCAACAGAATTTTTTTTTTCTTTTTTGAAGTCACAGAAACAATGCAAAATCATAATTTTTATACATATACATAGGATCATAACAGTTTAAGGAAAAGTATATTAATTCAGTGTGAAGCAGATATTTGAGTACAACCATTGTTGTTTATGTACCTGGAAATCTTCACATAATACAATTCCTGTTACCATCAGGCACCAATAATAAAACTATCTTATACAATATAATTTTTCATAGGCTTAATACTAAATACCTTAAATCAACTTGTCCGTTCATCATTTTTGTCAGGACTGATTACTTACTTACTGATTAAATAGCAAACAGTGCAGACCATGATCAGATGGCATGTATGTGCTGACTCGACTTGGTCTGCACTTGTTGCACGAGTTAGAATCTTAGTTAAATAATTCTTAGTTCACACTCAGCCATTCAACACACTTTCGATATTTCCCTTCTCTCTGATGAACATGTTAGAGAGGACATTTGTTTTAATATTGATTTCGTTCATTCGATACAAAACAATTTGTCAGATTTTTTGTAAACCACTGGTTTAGACTGTGTGATTAATGTACTGAGCATCTGAGCACCAAACCATGCTACATCATAATATAATGCTACCTAAATTAAAATCAATTTCCTAAACATAGTAAAAAGATAAACAAGACTGATCACATGTATCGTCTGATGATAGCCAATTAAACAGTTGTATTGAGGGATGATTGACCTGTTTGTGCCATGTATGTCACAGCTACTATGTATCATGTTACAGGGACTGTGTGGCAGGAGACACATACATCTTTATTAAGACAAAACACACTTTTTTATTCAATGGGCACAACTTCTTTAACCAAAAAAACTTGTTAATTAGGTGCAAGTACTTGAGGTACTGATCAATTCTCAACATGCATTAGTAGTAAACGACAAAAATTCAAAAAATAAAAATAATTAAAGGACCATAACTCTGACAGAAATCAGCCTATGATAGGCACAACTAGACTTGGTACTGATCATTCCTGTAAAGTTTGATTGAAATTGAGTTTTTGAGAAGTCCCGACAAGTTTTGTGACAGACGGATGGACAGACAACGGAAAAGTGATTCCTATATGTCGGAGAAGTGATTCCTTCTCTGTAGCAGGCGACACAAAAGTGTTTAATCTTAACAGTCATGTCAAAAAAATACAAAAAAAAAACAAAAAAAAAAAAACAGAAAAAAAAACAAGTACAACAAAATAATCACATTATTGTCAGAAATTCACTATATAATTCTAAAGCTACAAAATGATGAGGTTTAATGGAGTGTGCCTTAGCAACTTATGTTACAGATGATGATTTTATTAAAGAACAAACTAATCATATCAAATAAGAAGCATACAAAGAACACTTCAATATAACAAGCATCTGGATGCATGATATTACAAATAATCAAAATTAAAGACATCTGGATGAAACATATTTTAAGTTACAAACTGATGGGCATCTGGATGTAATAAAAATTACAGGCATCTGGATGTAACAGATTATAAATAATCACAATTACAAGCATCTGGATGTAACAGATTATAAAACAAGAGGGCCATGATGGCCCTAGATCGCTCACCTGAATTATCAAACTCATCCAAACAATTACCTAGACAAGCATTCTGACCAAGTCTCATGACAGGTGAGTCAAAAATGTGACCACTACAGTGTTAAACAAGGATTATCCATATTTGAGCAGTGCGACCTAGTTTTTTACCCAGGTGACACATATTCAAACTTGACCTAGAAATCATCAAAACAAACTTTCAGACCAATTTCCAGGATACTTGGATCAAAATAGTAGCAACTAGAGTGTTAACAAGATTTTTCTATTTTTAGCTCCGGTGACCTAGTTTCACATGCGATTTCGAAACTCATCCAAGCAATTACCTAGACAAACATCCTGACCAAGTTTGATGATAATTGAGTCGAAAATGTGACCACTAGAATGTTAACAAGGTTTTTCCATATTTGGGCGGTGTGACTAGTTTTTCATCCAAGATGACCCATGTTCGATCTTGACTTAGAAATCATCAAAACAAACTTTCAGACCAATTAACAGAATATTTGGATCACAAACAGTAGCCACTAGAGTGTTAACAAGATTTTTTCTATTTTTTAGCTCCTGTGACCTAGTTTTTCATCCGAAATGTCCCATGTTCGATTTATTCCCAGCAATGACCTAGACAAGTTTCCTGACCAAGTTTGATGACAATTGAGTCAAAAATTGTGACCACTAGAGTGTTAACAAGGTTTTTTCTATTTTTAGCTCCTGTGACCTAGTTTTTCATCCGAGATGACCCATGTTTCGAACTCATCCGAGCTATCACCTAGACAAGCATCTTGATCAAGTTTGATGATGATTGATGCAAAAATGTGACCGCTAAAGTGTTAACAAGGTTTTTCTATTTTTAGCTCTGGTGACCTACTTTTTCATCCGAGATGACCCATGTTCGAACTCATCCAAGCTATCAACTAGATAAGCATCCTGACCAAGTTTGATGATGATTGATGCAAAAAATGTGACCACTAGAGTGTTCACAAGGTTTTTCTATTTATAGCTCCGATGACCTAGTTTTTCATCCGAGATGACCCATATTCGAACTCATCCGAGCTATTATCTAAAACAAGCATCCTGACAAAGTTTGATGATGATTGGGTCAAAAATGTGACCACTAGAGTGTTCACAAGGTTTTTCTATTTTTAGCTCCTGTGACCTAGTTTTTCATCAGAGATGACCCATGTTCGAACTCATCCAAGCAATTGACTAGACAAGCATTCTGACCAAGTTTGATGATGATTGGTTCAAAAATGTGACCACTAGAGTGTTCACAAGGTTTTTCTATTTATAGCTCCTGTGACCTATTTTTTCATCCGAGATGACCCATGTTCGAACTCATCCAAGCTATCACCTAGACAAACATCCTGACCAAGTTTGATGATGATTGGGTCAAAAATGTGACCTCTAGAGTGTTCACAAGGTTTTTTCTTTTTAGCTCTTGTGACCTAGTTTTTCATCCGAGATGACCCATGTTCGAACTCATCCGAGCTTTTCAACTAGATAAGCATCCTGACCAAGTTTGATGATGATTGAGGCAAAAATGCGACCGCTAGAGTGTTCACAAGTAATTGTGGACGGCCGGACGGACGACGGACGACGGACGACGGACATTCACCGATCCTAAAAGCTCACCCTGAGCAAGCTCAGGTGAGCTAAAAATCAAAATTACAAGCATCTGGATGTAACAGATTATAAATAATCACAAGGAACATCGCAATGCGATGCAACCAGGTTTTCAGCAAAATATTTCACAGAAGCTTTGTCATGAAGGGGCATTTGTTTTTAATTGAACTTTTAGGAGGAATTATGGCTTTTTTAATATTCCTCAAACAAAAATGATTGAGAAATTTTATGTTGTCTATTCGCCTTTTTTCCCCAAATATTTTAGAAAGGTAAACAGTACTTTATTTTTGCTTAATTTTTGCATTTTTGCGTCTCTTGCCATTTTCTTTTGTCAACAATATTGGCGTGTGGTGTTTTGTGCGATATCAAGAAAAGTATGTTCACAATTTTAAAAAAATACTTGAATGATGTCTTGGAAGAAACATGGGAATTTAGTGAGCGCCAGGGCACTTGAATGACAAAGCTTCTGTGAAAGTTTGGTCAAAATCCATTGAGAAATGTAGGAGAAGTTGCGCACTGTAGAAATTGTTCACTATATATTCTGTATAAGGAAAAAAATATACAAAGGGCCATAATTCGGTCAAATATTATCCAATCACAAAACCCCGACAATATGTGCCAGGCACTTGATAACAAAGCTTCTAAGAAAGTTTGGTAAAAATCCGTTGAGAAATGTAGGAGGAGTTGAGCACAGAAGAAATTGTTCTCTATTTATTCTGTATAAGAAAAAATATACAAAGGGCCATAATTCGGTCAAATATTATCCAATCACAAAACCCCGACAATATGTGCCAGGCACTTGATAACAAAGCTTCTAAGAAAGTTTGGTCAAAAATCCGTTGAGAAATGTAGGAGGAGTTGCGCACAGAAGAAATTGTTCACTATATATTCTATATAAGGAAAAAAAACAAAGGGCCATAATTAGGTCAAATATATACCAATTGCAAAACCCTGGCAATATGTGACAGGGCACTTGATGACAAAGCTTCTGAGAAAGTTTGGTCAAAATCCGTTGAGAAATGTAGGAGGAGTTGTGCACAGAAGAAATTGTTCACTATATATTTTATATAAGGAAAAAAACCAAAGGGCCATAATTAGGTCAAATATTATCTAATCGCAAAACCCCGACAATATGCGCCAGGGCACTTGATGACAAAGCTTCTGTGAAAGTTTGGTCAAAATCCGTGGAGAAATGTAGGAGGAGTTGCGCACAGAAGAAATTGTTTACGCCCGCCGCCCGCCCGTCCGCCCGCCGACATACCTCAATCTAATAACCAGTTTTTTCCTTCGGAAAACCTGGTTAAAAATTATAAGCCATCTGGATGTACCAGATTGTAGATAATCAAAGCACAAGCATCTGGATTTAGCAGTCTATAAATAATAAAAATAACAGGCATTTGGATGTTAGAAATAACAGGTATCTAGATGTAACAATCAACATCTAGATGCATAAGATTAAAAAGATAATTACTTTGCTACTTTTTTTTTCTGACACCATTTTACAAAATTCTAACGATGATATACATGGCCTATCAGAACTAACATCTTTTCTTCAGATAAGTTAAACATGTCATCAGTCTGTCAGTTCCCAGATAGAGAAACACACTGATATATAAGTAATATACACTTAATTTCTGAGTAATATACTATTATAAACACTAAATGATACCATAATAATTATCACACTGAGTCAATCATTAATGAAATCATTATAATACATGATTTCTTTATTGTTAGTATATTAGAGATAATTGTATGACCATAACAAAACTCATGTCGTTTTAGGTATCTAGTCAGCTCTTGCAGTATGCTAATTGAAGACTTGCAGCCAGATGTATTCCTTGAAATGTCACATGACCTGGTCCTTCTGCTGAGAGAGAGAGAGAGAGAGAGAATGAAACAGTTGGTCAGTCACATGATCCCTTCAGTTCAAGTAGCCAATCAGACTCGAGCTTTAATCTACATCTCCCTTTATTTGGCCAGATTCCATTTATTGTCTGCCATTAAATAAATTTGACTCTTAACATAATGATATTGGCAGCCAATCAGATTGTAGGATGATTAACTATCCACCAATCAGAAGAAGTCTTACAGCAAGTCATACATTTGGATTGACTTCAGCAGTTGTTACAGGAGTTTTGATTGGTGAAGAGATAGTACCTGACAAAGATCTCTTATCTTGTCATGAAAAAGTAATCTTCTTCTCAACATCTGTAAGCAAAAAGTACAATATTAAGAAATGTAAGGAATGCAAACAACAAATAAAAGTTACTTTAAATGTAATCATGATTTACAAACTAAAGACATGACGTTAAATTCTGCACATTAAAAACCAGATTGTCAAATGTGTAAAAAAAGATCTATAAAACCATAATACATAGTTTTGAACAAAAAGACATAGATCTTTTTATAGCTACAAATACAAGATCATTAATTGTATGTATCTGTTTGAACAAAATTCATAAGGAATATTATGCTATAATTATCAAGGTATCCTTTACATGAATTAGTGCTAAGATGGTCATTTACATAAATTTGTATTTGGATAGACAAGCTATATAGTCCTTAACTATGTGTAGAACAACCAGCAATAATATTAATACATGAATTTGCGAGTTAAGGAAGAAGTTTTACATTAATTTGCATTTTTTAAACATGGATGTCATAACGATATGACACCAGTAATATTTTCCTTTACATTACTTTGTTAATGAAAGTAGCCATATTGTTATTTATATGAATACATAAACAAGAAATGTTATCCTTTGCATCAATTTCTTTCATAAAAGAACATACATTTTGTTTTTTTATATAAATACGAAGATCAATTACATTCTCCTTTTCATGAATTTGATTGTTAAAAGTAAAGCCTTATCATACTTCACATAAATATGCAACCAGTTACATCATCCTTTACATAAATTTGATTGTTAAAAGAAGTTTTATCATAATTTACATAAATATGTCAACCAGTTACATTATCCTTTACATGAATTTACTTTAGTTAAGAGACAAAATATACTGACATGTCTGTTAACTGTTACATTATCAGGTTATATATATATACATGTACAAAAGCATTGTTTAAATCTGTGTATATTGGTGCATATTATGTACATGTACTCACGGTTTGAACAAGCATAATTCATTTATTCTACATTAATGTAGTGGTGAACTTTTCCTCGCTCAAATAACCTAAACATATATTATATATGATATTGTATTGTGTAACAGTCTCACAGCTTAACCTGCTCAATTTAAGTAATGGATTTGCCTTGCTTTGAATTTGAAACAGTCCATTTAAATTTCAAGGGATTTCAATATCAAAATGCTACCAAAAGTATATAGAGCCTGGTCAGACTGAACATGCAGGCTAGCCCGACTCTATACTGGTGAAAAAGGCCAATCACATTTAGTACCAGCAAGTTAAGGGTTAAAATGGAGAATTTTTTTTTAATGGCGATTATCTAGAATCTTGTATTCGATGATCCTTCTTAAACGCATTATCTAGCAGGTAGATAGGTGCGTGTCTAATCCGGTACCGTAGTACGGAATTTAGACCATACTGGATACTCTTCAAAGGAGGTGTACCATTATCGGGATCATTCGAGGAGCAAGGACACAAAAAATTGTCAAGTTCGAAAGTTCATTATCATATATATTATCAAAATAAAATCATCCGCTATGTCCATGTGTTATGTAACTACCTTTTTATTTCTATTTACAGTGTAACCAAGGAAATGATTTGTAGATATCTCTACATTAATAACCAGCTAGAACCTACAGTAATTAGCCTTCTCAACCAGGTTAACCTGCACATCTATGCAGTCTGACTTTACTATATACGCTGGCCAGTTTCAAACTTTCATTTTAATATCCCGAAAATTGATGATGGACAATTCCAAAAAATGGAAGCTGGACAAGTCCATTTAAGAAATTCAGCAGGTTAAGGTTAATTCTATGAATCACGGCAATAAGACTTGCCAATGCTAACAATATAAATCCAGACCCAGTCTGTACATAAACTGTTGGCTGCCATATGTTAGTATTTAAATATTGAAATCCATTAAATTAAACAATTTTAAATTCCAAATGCTGACAAGGTCATCATAGAAATAAATGACAGTAAATATTACTTTGTAGCTTATAAATCAAAGTGAGAATAATATTTGCCCATTGGCCTCATGATGTGTATTTGTAAATCATTTAATTAAAGTATACATTCTAATCTAAGGTACTTATATGTGGAGTTGATATAATAATTTTATATACTAACCACTGCCCATTGGTTTAAGTATTAAGTGGTTAAGAAGATCAGATAGAGAAATAATGCCGACAACATGATCTTCTTCATCCACGATCACAAGCCTGTGTACCTCTGCCTTCACTATTTTATCTATCACAACACTCAATGAATCCTTCACATAACATTTCACCACGCCTTCAAACCAACTTGCCTACAAAATATATATAATTATTAGTAATTTTTGTATAAACTTAAATAATCTAGTCAAGATCATAATATTGATGCCTTGTATACTTTACAGGAGATACAGTTTACCTCCCTTTACCTTATTATGGACATAATTCATGTAAAGAATAATACTAAAGTTCCAACATTTTATCTATTATTTCAAATTACTTCATGTTAAAATGAAGACTTGACAACCAGAAATTCAATATTTCTTTTAAAATATGTGTTAAATAGCATATATATATATTCTTAAAAATCATATCAAAGCCTGTTGATATTAAAAATATTTACAATTACACAAATTTTACCATGGTTAATTAAAGATACTGTATTTAATAATGTTGATTTTATTTATAATAATGTAAGATTTGTTATTATTGATATAGATACATGTAGATACATACCCCCATTCTATGCTGCAATGCCTGCTGTATAGTGATATCTAGATTATTATATGTCTTCTCTGCTGCCAAATTCTAAAATAAAATATATTGCTTTATCATCAACAAATAAAACACTTTATATACAGCATGAGTAACAAAATCATTGATAAATTCTCATTTATCTCAGTAAATAATCCATCTTTATTTTTAAATTTTATAATCTGTCTGGAACTGGAGAAAATTACTAAACATAGAAAAATAGCACTACAACTGTAGCAATATGCCTGTGGTAACAGTATTTGTAAATGTTAAATGTCCATAAAGGAGCTGAAAATATCACATATCTTTGAAAGAAGTTATTGATGCTATATCTTGACAATTTCCATAAACCTATCACTGTACAAGCCTATAATAAAGGGGAGAGATGACCTAGTGGTTGACATGACCGTCTCTCAACCCAGTGATTGTAGGTTCAAGCTCCACTGGTGTCACCACCATGTTTCCTTATTTGACACAAGTACTGGTTAGTTTAAGGCATCTGACTCAAGCGTGGTTTAAATAACCTAAGCTTTCATTACAATAAAAATCTGTAACATTTAAACAAAACTGAAGCTAGAAATTAACACAAAGTCATATTTCCCTGTAGGATATACTGATTATACACACAGAATCAGCAAGTCAAAATTTATCAAAATTAAAAATTTATATACATTTTGAGCCAAGGACCGGGTATATAATTATATCCGACTTACAATAACATCAAACTTGGCATAGATATCTACAACTTTCCTGTCATCATCTACAACTGGTAGTGCTGATATTCTATGCTGCACAAACAGATTGAGAGCCTCGTATACTGTAGTGTTACGTCTAGCCTGCATATACCAAAATTATACATATTATATTCTAACATATTGGTTCTTCTCCAATTATATTAAAATGAAAATTATGGTAATTTTAGAAATCATAAACATAATGATTATATAATATTATCATTGTCATGGTAAAACAGCAACTTGGTGAAAGAAGACCTGAGATATCTGAACATACATTATCTCAGTCACATTGTAGTAGAATCACTGACCTTCAGAAAGTCATGTGAATTATTTGTCATATGTAAAATCAAACGTTCAGCAGTGAAGGGAGTAGAAGTTAAATTCCTTGTCCTTAATTAAATGAAGTACACAAATCAGACTAACTTGTATTAAGTTTGATCAGCTCTTATTATAAATGCTTCACTATTATACCAGAGACATAGATAACATTATCTATGTCTCTGATTATACTATGTATTACAAGAAAACCATTGATAAAAATAGCAACTACAGTATTAGCAGTTATGAAACAAGAAATACTGCCAATCTTTATATCTGAACAAAATCTACATACACTAATAAAAAATATATAAACCAATTTTACAGGCTGTCAAGATCTTAAAATATCTATGACACAAAATTCAGACACTTTTCATGTATCTGTTCTGGCTAAAATGCACATACAAATTTCAATAAATCCTAAACTGAAATGGAATTGACTAAATATTTACTGTTTCACAATTTATTTATGGTTCTGTGAAATGCCAAGTATGTTTAATAGGATAAATTCTTCATATTATCATGGAGAACAAACTTGGACTTTATTAATAAAATACAAAATCAATACAGGTTTGTCATCTGCAGAAATTAGCACGAATGAGAAGATGAAACCATGGGCATAACAGTTATAGAGAAAACTTGCTAGTTGCATATCTCTGTACTTGCCTACACCACCGAGCTTATTTAATAAAACCATTCATCATTTTAAGAAAAATTTAATAATATAGGTGTATTGACTAAACAGCTAACAATTGTCAGCTGATCTTGGTCTGCACTGGGGGCATCAGGCAGGACAGTTGTCAGATATATGCTGTATCATTGTTAGATTTCTGGTACAGAATTTCCTTAAAACGGTAAAAGTCCTTGCTTAAAGCCCCAGCACTGTAAGTTGGGACATATTCCAGGGCATGATGGTGCCAATATTGATCTAGCGGTGCAGGGTTTAAACTTTTCTTGGTTAATAAACTATGTAATGAATGAACATACTGTTATAACATTGTCATATGTTCCAATTTCTAGTTCGCCAATACTTTTATTCCAGAATGTTGGTTTCGGAAGGTCATTTATCTGTAATAAATATCAAAATAAACATTGTTAATTGTATATTATATCATACTATACAAGCAGAAATTAGTTTTATCAAGGGCAACTGTATACAACAATAATTGATTCAATTATATTCCAAACTGATTACATATTGTTACCAAACGAATTATACAAATATCAGTTCTTTTCTTAAGACACAAGGACTATAACTTTCTAGTTTTAATGGTTGAAGAAGAAAATTGCATTATTTCAGACTCCAGCGAGCACCTGAGTAAAACCACCAACTTGTATGTTAGCTAGCTGGATAGATTCCTCATATAAAAGAATTGGAAGACTCCTTTACAGGATTTTAACCCATATTAGCAAGTGTTGTCAAGTTAACATCCTTAATTGCTCTGCTACAGATTCTTTAAATAACAATATCCAGAAATGTGTCCATAGTACAGGAATTCCCCTACATTTCACTGTTCATTTAATCTAAGAACAGACAGACTAAGGCAAATCTATACCTCTCACGCCCCCTATGGGGCATTAAAACTGCAATTTCATATATGTTTGATAATTGCTTACAAAGAACCAGCTAAAGTTACATCATCTTAAATAACCAAATGATTTTAACAAACATGTTGAAAAATAACACATTTCATTTATTTTCCCTAGAATCAGAATCTATAATGAAACGCTCCGATTAAAACTCTCCTAAACAATTTCATTTCTTAACGTATTAATCAACTGTTTTTTTCCCCTTTAAAGCAAACAAATTGATTTGATATGCCCCCATCCCTCTCCAAAAACAAAACAAACTGTCTTTTTGATTTTAATTTCTATGCCCAGTTATCTTTTCTTCCCTTTTTTAATCACCAAATTCAGTTTTTGTTTTAAATTCTGTATTCTTTAGCAAAAAAGATTTAGGACAACTTTAAAACTGTAGAACTGTGATGAACAAATATACAAGTATAAGTAGATCTTTGTCCTTCATCCAAAATGTTTGTTCCAAATTTACATTTGGTTTTGAGTATCACTGATAGACTAATGTATTTCAAGATACAAGTATATACCTATCTTATATATTCAGGAGAAAATTAAGTATTTGATATTTACAAGGCCTAAGGATATTGTTTATTGTACCCTTATAATATACATCAGTGCTCAGTTATATATACATGTTGATGTATTTACTTACATACAGATACAGGAATCTAAGAATTCTCTTATGTGTGAGAATATAGATAGCATTGCCCGTAATCTTGTCAATGACGGGGAGACGATGTACATGGTTGTGGATCAGGGTACGTATTGCCTCAAACAGGCTCGCGTCCGGGTCTATACACACAAATGGTCGCTGTTTGTCCTTTAATACCTCTGTAATAAAACATCAACATAATATAGTATTGTAATAAAGAAAGTTTCTGATGAAAATACTGTTATTAACTGCATGAACTTTTATTTAATCTTTTCTACTGAGCTCTTGGGGGGAAACAACTTTACACAGATAACTCCATCAGATATGCACAATATTGTTCCTTTTACAGCTCAGCATGGTTTTCTTTCTATGTATACAGTAATTCCAACAAGTAGTTTCATTTCTTTACCCTCAAAATGCCTGTGAACATTTAATGTACTAACATTTATTTTGGGTTTTTAGGTCACTCTTGGTGAGCATACCTGCAATCACTTCTTACATTAATTTCTTTTTGTTGGATTTTATAATCATATGGTGACTTTATTGGTAAAATAAGACCTCAGGCACCATTTTGTGCATTAATTCAGACATAAGTGGGCATCATAGTATAATCATCAATCTTCCTTACATAAAGGGATACACAAGTCTTTGACAGGATTCGAACCTACAGCAGGGAGGAGCTAGTAATCTGAAGTCACTTTAATCACGGAAGGCCCCTACTTACACAAGAGAACAACAACTGATTTAAGACAGAACATTTTATGGTTTCAAGAATTTGAAATGTTGATAGAAAATTCAAAATACAACTGCTGACAATTCTAAGTTGTATTATCTAACTTTTACTTTTTGGCTTCATAAATATTAATTGTGGTTAAAAAACAAAACTTGAGGTTTTGCATTTGTTCCAGACTAATTCTGAATCATATATGTGAGAAATATATACCAAATATTCTTCAGGGAAAGGAAATTTCATATCAATCTTGACAGTCACTGGATTATATTTTTTCTGGTATTGAAAAAACATGAACTTAGACTACAGGGGAAGTTTTGCAAAAACCTTGCTGATATATAATCAGCTAGCACCTATACAGACAATGTAATACAATATCTTCCCCCTGACATTTTGCAAGCATCACTTGTGGTGTAATGACATATTCAGGTAGTTAATATAAAATCTCTACAATAAATTGACATTAACAAAAGTCAAGGGAGGTCATCAGACAGAGTCATATAACACAGTGTTTCTACTGCACCAGACACCCAAACTTGATTACCCAACAAAACTTATTGATTCTGAACTTTTTATATTTTACTCTAAAGCAACAGAAAATTCACAGCAATTTATCATTATTATTCTATTTTATCCAGAAAAGAAAAAGAACAGATGAAACATAAGATTTTAGTCAACGCCAAATGCATCTTAATGGAACCGTGTTATTTGTTGTATGGATGAAAAAACAAAACAAATTATTTCAAACCATGGAAACAATAGCACAAATATTATTATCACTTTCAGATAAATAACTGTTTGTTATGAATTAAAATTATCACTGATTTACAAACAACATGCAAATTACAAACATTCATATTAAGGTATTAGCACCCTAATGCATTACCTCCGCTTTGAAGAGTATTCCAATAGGCTAGAATTACTGTTAACTACATTGAAAATGAGGGCCATGGGTTCAATCCCCAGAAGGGTCAACTTTTTTTTTCTTTCTTTTTTTCTTTTAACATTATTTATGTATCTCTCATGTCCCATATGGAAAGAAAAAAGTGTTTAATTTTTAAATTTTTAATTTATATAGGTATTTATTGGCTAAATTATGCTAAATCTAGTAATAAATATGGTACCTGATATTTTCAAATTGTAATATAATCAAAACTAGACGGTAAAAGTATTTCATATTTTACAAGATCAACCAATATACTTTTTTAAAAATTTAGGGAAACTTTGAAAACAGGCACTCATTTGGGTAAATTTTAAGAATTTTTTGAATTAGGCTCCCTAAGTAGAAAAATGGTCAGACATGTGGTAAAAATGGGTAGGGTAGGGTAAAATTTTTTATACAGATTTCATAAAATTTAAGTAGAAACCATAATTTTGCTTATGTGGATTGTTAGCTGAATGGTACTATTTGTTTCTTACCAAAAATTCATGGGAAAATATTTTTCATTAGAATGTTATTGCAGATTATTTAAAGGTTCCTCATTTCTAAACAAGAGGGCCATGATGGCCCCGAGGTCGCTCACCTGTATATAGGCCCCCTCAACCCCCACCCCCCCCAACGTTGCAGAGCCAATTTAACCCAAGGGCTTTTATTTGCACAAACTTGGTAGACACCCATAAGAAGATGTTTCATGCTAAACATTTAAGCTCTAGCTCATTGGGCTTTTTAAAAGAAGATTTTTTTTAAGTTTTTACTATACACATATAGTTAAAAACAATGACACCCCTGGGGCCGGGCCAGTTTTGACCCCAGGGCTTTTATTTGAACAAACTTTGTAGACACTTACTAGAAGATGTTTCATGCTTAATATCTAAACTCTAGCTATTTGGTTTTTTTCAAAGAAGATTTAAAGTTTTTGCTAAACACATATAAAGAAAAAGGGGCCAATTTTGACCCCTGGGCTTGTATTTGAACAAACTTGGTAGACACCTATTAGAACATGTTTTATGCTCAATATCTTAGCCATAGCTCTTTGAGTCCTTTAAAAGAAGATTTTTTAAGTTTTTACTATATGCATATAGGGAAAATCAATGACCCCCCGGGGCGGGGCCAATTTTCACCCCAGGGCTTTTATTTGAACAAACTTGGTAGACACCCATTTGAACATGTTTCATGCTAAATATCTTAGCTCTAGCTCTTTGGGTTCTTTGAAAGAAGATTTTTTAAGTTTTTACTATATGCATACAATGTATAGGGAAAATCGATGACCCCCCGGGGCGGGGCCAATTTTGACCCCAGGGCTTTTATTTGAACAAACTTGGTAGACACACACTAGAAGATGTTTCATGCCAAATATCTAAGCGCTAGCTCTTTGAGTTCTTTAAAAGAAGATTTTTAAGTTTTTTCTATATGCATATAGGGAAAATCAATGACCCCCGGGGCGGGGCCAATTTTCACCCCAGGGCTTTTATTTGAACAAACTTAGTAGACACCCATTAGAACATGTTTCATGCTAAATATCTTAGCTCTAGTTCTTTGGGTTCTTTAAAAAAAGATTTTTTAAGTTTTTACTATATGCATATAGGGAAAATCAATGACCCCCCGGGGCGGGGCCAATTTTGACCCCAGGGCTTTTATTTGAACAAACTTGGTAGACACTCACTAGAAGATGTTTCATGCCAAATATCTAAGCTCTAGCTCTTTGAGTTCTTTAAAAGAAGATTTTTTAAGTTTTTACTATATGAATATAGGGAAAATCAATGACCCCCGGGGCGGGGCCAATTTTCACCCCAGGGCTTTTATTTGAACAAACTTGGTAAACACCCATTAGAACATGTTTCATGCTAAATATCTTAGCTCTAGCTCTTTGGGTTCTTTAAAAGAAGATTTTTTAAGTTTTTACTATATGCATATAGGGAAAATCAATGACCCCCAGGGGCGGGGCCAATTTTGACCCCAGGGCTTTTATTTGAACAAACTTGGTAGACACTCACTAGAAGATGTTTCATGCCAAATATCTAAGCTCTAGCTCTTATGGTTTTTTAAAAGAAGATATTTAAAGTTTTTTCTTTCGGTTGCCATGGCAACCAGAGTTTTGCATGGAATTAAATTCTTTGAACAATTTTTAAAGGTGACCACCAAAGGAACATTCCTGTGAAGTTTGGATGAAATTGGCTTAGTGGTTTATGAGGAGATGTCATTTAAAGTAAAAGTTTACAGACGGACGGACGCCGGACGAAAAGCGATCACAAAAGCTCACCCTGTCACTTTGTGACAGGTGAGCTAAAAAGGGCCCTAATAACATCCTAGCTTGAGTTCAGAAAAGTGGCCATAACTTGATTTCCGTACGGTAAACTTTGTTTAAATTTTGCATACAGGTGTACTTGAAGGTATACATCTGACCTATGATGTCAATTCTTTAGTTCCTGATAGTGCCCATTAGGGTCCTAATACCTTAAATGATTAACTATTTATTCATTTAAATTTATTTTCAAGTGTAGAAGATACAAAACTGCTAAAGTCAGTGCTAAGGGATGGTTGCAAAACTTTTTTGGTTGACCTCAATTAACTAATATAATATGGCCACCATCAAGTTATACTGGTGGAGAATAAAATAAATTTTCTTTGTTTTATTTCCAACAAGAGCAGTATACCTTAGTGGACCCTTCTTCATAAGAAAGAATGGTAAAAATCCCCTGATTTGATAAGACAGCACATGGGTAGTGGAACAGATGACTGCATGTCAGTAACATTTACCACAATACCACATACAATTAACAGACAATCAACATACTACAATTAACAGACAATCACTATACCGAAAAACAGACCTACCACTAACAGAATAAACAATGCTAACAATCAATACCACAAACAACAAATAATGCCACAAACAGAAATTACTATTCTATTTTGACAAACAAGGAAACCAAATTTCTACAAACATTAAAATATCATAAGAATACCTCTCCATTTTTCTATGTTGTGTTCCTCCAGCTCATCCATTTTCACCTGTAATTAAACAAAGGAACATTTTCACCTGTAATTAAACAAAGGAACATTTTCACTTGTAATTAAACAAAGGAACATTTTCACCTGTAATTAAACAAAGGAACATTTTCACCTGTAATCAAACAATGGAACATTTTTATCTGTAACTGAATAAGGAATTATTTTAACCAGTCTTAGGAATATTTTCATCTGTAACTGAATTTAGGGAACATTTTCACCTGTAATTAAACAATGGAACATTTTTATCTGTGTAACTGTATAAGGAATTATTTTAACCAGTCTTAGGAATATTTTCATCTGTAACTGAATTTAGGGAACATTTTCACCTGTAATTAAACAAAGGAACATTTTATCTGTAACTGAATAAAGAATTATTTTAACCAGTCTTAGGAATATTTTCATCTGTAACTGAATTTAGGGAACAATTTTACCTGTAATTAAACAATGGAACATTTTATCTGTAACTATATAAGGAAATATTTTAACCAGTCTTAGGAATATTTTCATCTGTAACTGAATTTAGGGAACATTTTCACCTGTAATTAAACAATGGAACATTTTTATCTGTAACTATATAAGGAAATATTTTAACCAGTCTTAGGAATATTTTCATCTGTAACTGAATTTAGGGAACATTTTCACCTGTAATTAAACAAAGGAACATTTTATCTGTAACTGAATAAGGGACCAAACATGATTAACCTTTACCACCATAAGTCTTGACTGTTGGTGACCCACTTTGTGTATTTTCATACTGAAATCCCTTAAAATTTAAATGGACTATTCCATATTCAAAGCAGGGCAAACCAGGTGAAAAGTCAAAAACCCTAACATCAACAGTAGACAATTCTATAATCAAACAAAGATGAGTCCATAATATAAATTTAGTAGATATTGTTTAAATCTTCAGAACGCTTTATCTTTCAAAAATATAGCAGTTAATATTGTCATGTGAGGTAATATCGTAGGCACAGTTTGTTTCATGTTTGACATAAAAATATCGGACTGTTTAGAAATTCCAACATTACTTCTTTCCATGCAGGTTTCTGGTAACCATAGATACACACTTAAATCTGTTTATGTATGGGTTTTAAAGTTAATTAATATAGGAAATAAGAAAACATAAGCATTTATCTGTTTATAGCAACTGGAGTAATAAAAAGCTCTCATTAGTGAATTTGTCTGTATAATAATACTAATACAAGAGCTACCACTGAGTACAGATTACGCTCTACTTTTCCTTATTTCTAAATGGCCAACATTACAGAATCTGTATGGCAAAAGCAACGACAACCTGACAGTAGCAGTAGCACAACCTGACAGTAGCAATAGCTTATAATTTTCTAAACAAACCCAATGCCCATTACCACATAAATGGCAAGCAAAAAGCTTGTGCTAAACATTAATAAGATCTTGAGTTTAATCCTTCAGATAATCACATTAATGATTTATTTTACTCTTACAATGCTGAACTAGAAATTTGATTAGCTATTGCTACCAGTTTAAAGCCACGCCAAATCGTACTGTCTGATCAGGCTCTATAATATCGGTTGTCTAACTTAAAACCTCCAAAATTGATAATGGACAGTTCCCTGAACAAGTCCATTTAAGAAATTCAAGGGGGTTAATGCTAACAAAGTATTAAATTGTGTTTAAATATTTAAAATTGTAAGAGTAAATTAAAGGTGCATTGACTCAAGTTCTTTCTGTATCTAGGTGATGATCACACTATTGTGATGTCATTTACAAACTATTAGTGTTTGAAAAGAGACAAGCATGTTAGTAAAAACATTTGAAATACAAGCCCTTGAAATGTCTTAATGAATCTTATAAAAACAACATTTCAATATTAAAGGCAGATAACTCTGGCATAAAAAATTATGAGGCAACAATTACTTGCAAACAGCCGTTCACTAGCTGGCACATGCAAATTTATGTACATAACTTATTGTTTTATGTCATATTGAAAGCATATTAGACTTTTGTGAAACAATCTTTATTTTAATAAAAAACCTTTATTTTTGAAAATAAAACAAACAAAATATTTTTGTTAATTGAAAAATAAAAATAATATAATAATTATTATTTGGCAACACAGACATTGGACACGGAAAACAAAGAATGGGAACTTACATCCTGTCGTTTCTGTTTTTCCTATGGTGTATTTAAAAATATGAGTTATGTAGGGAGACCTGTTACCTTTCATCATATATAACAATGTGTTGCTTTATTTACTGACTGTAAGGTTATACAACAGACGGAGCACTTTACATATCATCATATATTTATAGTAACACTGTAATGTGACTGTAACACAACAAGTGCAGTGATTGAAATGTTCCAAATGTATTTGAATTTCAGTGTTCCTTGTTATATATACATATGTGCCTACAAAGATATCTATGTGGTAACATTTAAATGCCACAATAACACTGAATACAGTGTTTGAGAAGTTACAGCTATGTTTCCATGTTACACTGAAACCAGACTGTACCAGGGTATGTTATGTTTCAGCCGCACTTCACCAGTGCTGGTTATACATAGTGCCTAGGCTCAAATCTAAAAATACTGAAAAATCACCCAAAATTAAATATTTAATCTTTTAATATAATGCTTTGATCTCACATTTTATAACCTTACTTCCAGTGTTTGTCAGATTTATTGAATATAAAAGTTCATTATAAACATACAACAAACAGTTTAATATATGATGTATAGTATATTAAGATGTATGCAAATAAAAGAAAAATGTCGAGTTCAAACATTTAAAACTTTATCTAGTGTCATAACAATGTAAATTCCAAGCCTGTTCCATAAAATTTCAGGAATGAAAATATTTATATGTATAATGACTGGAAATAAACATTGTTTATAATATACAACATTTCAAAAAATAAACTAACCTAATTGAAAAGTTTAAAACTACATGGGGTTTCAACTTTCCAACAAAAAACTTTGCTACCTTAGATTTGCATATTCGGCTGTATTACAAAATTTTTAATTCATTTAAAATTGCACATAATAACAAATTATATATTAAGTTGTATAAAAATCAAAAACCTTCAGAAAATGTCTCCTGCATTTAACTCAAATTATTTGTGTTCAAACAGTCACAAATATTTTATATCACTTAGTTGTAAGTTATTACAATAGTCAATATTCTTTATCATTTTATGACACAATATCATAACTCTGACCCTGCTGTAACTGAACAAGTATAGAGAAAGGCTAGCCTAAACATCCGTACAGTCTGACCAGGCCCTATACTGCTGGCTGGCTATATTAAAATGCTCGTCCTGAAATCCCTAATATCTATAATAGGCAGTACCAAAAATAGAAGCTGGACAAGTCCATTCACGAAATTCAGCAGGTTAAGGGTTAAATTTCAGCAACATTCCCAGCCTAGGAAAGGAATTCTTCGAATTTCAGATATTTGTTTATTTCTTGAGAATAGTAAAAAAAATCTAGAAAGCAACTAAAAGCTTATCACACAAAGTTAGTATATCATAAACAAAGTACTTACATTAGGGGACGTGTAATATTTGTGTAAGATCGAGATAAAATCTGTAATCGTCAACATCCCTGTAAGATACAAAATAAAATATCATCATCTCTAACATTGTTAAATACCCAAGTCATAAAATTAAGGTACTTGTTACTAATTAAATATGTATATTAGACATGCAATAGAGTTGTCAAGTATAAAGAGATATATTGTATTATAAAACTATACCACATTTTACCATTAGCTTTCAAATCATAACACATATGGTAGACATGCAATACAGATATATAACAGAAGTAATTGTACTTTATTTTACAGTCTTGCTGCCAGTTTAACATTGATTTTATGATCAGTTTACCTTTCTAGGAGAACTTTTACAAAATTTGAGAAACAAAATGCTTAACAGAGCCGACTAAATAAATGTATTGTCTGAAGAACATTCTGTGAATAATTTGGTTTAGAAAAAGTCTATCATGGTTTTTTGGGTTTTTTTTGGTGATTTTACTACATGTTTGGTCGTGTATCAGTGTCTGTCCACCTAACCTATTTTCTAGGTAATTCAACAGTAATTACCAATATCTCAGCAAATGACCGACCACTAATCTTACATGATATCTGTATTAACAGTGAGACACAGATGACCACGAGATAGATTGTCATGGAGAAATTCAGTCACCATCCAATGCTCTTCCTATTGTGCTTAGCAGGATTAAGGGCTTCATGTGAAACAAATGGGACTTCTATATATGACACGAGTTAACAGCGTTTGGCATAAACCCCTCAAATTGTTGGCAATAAGATTCTGGACCTAAATATGCCAATTAACCAGCTCCTGAGAATCGCGCATTTTCCCATGACAACATTAACTTGAAAATAAAATGCTGTCTTCCATAATTAAATGTGTGGAAAAGTTCAAAGCATTTTGCATAAAAACAGGTACCATGTCAACACCTTGTGTAGATGCTCAGGGCTTCCATTAAGTTACAAAATTTATAAGTCACAGACTGCAAAAAGTTTGACATAGGAAGCCATATTATATAGCAAAAGCATTACATTTTGTAAGCCACAACCCTAAAGACTCCAAAACTTTCACTAATGGAAGCCCTGGCTGCTATACCACGTCATGAATAAAATGCTTTTGTTAACTAGAATCAAACAGTGCTATTCCTCTTTAGACCATAAAATATAAAACAGCCTGCCAATGTAACATTCAAATCTTCAGAATGGACAAGTACTTATATTTTTATAAGGGAAGACAATTCTTTCTCTTGTAATTTGATGAGTTATCTCCCTTTATAATTTACCTTCATAATCTTGTTTAGCACTACTCCACAATGGTGCAGCTCTCACTCCATTATATACCAGGGCAAAAAATGCCTTCTTTACCTGAAATAACATACAACATACCTTTATCAAATATCAAAATTATTAATTATTTCAAAAATAAAAATAAAACAAGTATCAACATAATTAAAACCTAGAAGACAGAAATACACCACCTTATAAATTCTGACATGTGTTTGTTGTTTGAACAATTATTACAAGCTCACAGTCTTATATAAGGCTGTTTGTTGAACCTTATTATCATTTAACTGCAGGTTGTTTATCAATCTGATCTTGAAATTTCAGATTGTTAATATGGATTAATGAAACCTTACAAGAACTATTTTATATTGATTGTTAATATATGCATTTTGAAGTGTAAGACTGTTTGTTTATGTGGACTTTAATCCTTGTATTTATCATAAATATAAGTTGTTTGTTTGTCTTGATTTTGGAACTTTAAGATAAGTTATCTATCTTGTTTTATCACATACCTACGCTATTTATGTAACTATGTTATTGCCGTGCATATATTTTGATGTCACATCATTTACATTATACATAGCGTAAAGAAGTGCTACATGTTAGTATAATTCTATAGGTGTGGCAATGAAAAAGTTATTCTTTTTTTTACTATAAACAGTTCATAGTTTGGATATGTGATAAATAAGAATGTGTAGCTTCATAACCTCTTTGAATAAAGAAATTTCAAGTTTGCAAGAGGTTCCCATAATATAATTTTGTTTAACTTGTTCATGGACCTTTCCGGTTTTTCTTAGCGGAACATTTAGCCACACCTTTTCCATTCATTGCTAGGTCAACTGCTCACAAACAGTATCACAAACATAACCACGTGTTCTTTTGTGCAAACCAGGTCAACCAGTGACTATGTATTATCTCAATCGAGCGATTGGATAACAAGTTAGCCAATTTAAATAAAACTGTAAACACCGGAAAGGTTCATTAAATTCAGTATTCATTTTAACGTACACTTATTTAATATACTCTTGTATGATTGTTTTAAACTTTGTATTTCCTACTTTCCAACAAAAACTGCCATATCATCATACAAATTTAGTGTTTTTAATGTTATATCAGAATTCAACTACATAAACAATCATGGAGTCAATATTTTCAATATACTCTAATATTTCAATATATTCTAAAACAGTGTACTACTAAATATATTTTTCATTTTATTATCACATCCCCTAGAGAAAGCAGAATCATTTTACTACATGGTTAAATTCCTAGTCATTATATGGGTAAATTCTAATTAAAATTTCTACCTTCCAGTCTATATACTGGAGGTTTAAAATATTTCTTGCTTATTGGTATTGATGTGTTGTCAGGAACAATGGAAGCAAACAGGGAAGTTTTTCTGACATTTATCCTTACAGGAAATCATTATACACCGTCACTGAACACCAGTGTTTCTACTGACAACAGGATGTGTCCTGGTCTTGTCTTATCAGAACATTTTAAGCATTAACTCTACTGTACATTTGAGAAAATCTAACCAAAGTCTATTAGTTTGTCCATTTCTGGACTGAAATTTTTAAAGTTTGGCCATTTCCTGACTTAACTTAGTTTGCTTTTATTTTGAAATAACCTCTGGAAATAGTATGTATTTTCTAGGCTGAATATGACTTATGGGAACGAACCCACGCCAGAGAGGTAACTGGTTTAGAGTCCATGACTTCTAATCCAGTTACCTCTCTGGCGTGGGTTTGATCTCCGGGAGATGCTTTGGTAGTTTAGCACGGAGGAAGGTAGTCTAGTACTGGTGTAACTCTCCAGGAATGATGGTTAGGAAACTACCCGCCTATATGACGGGAAAAGGCGTAAAATGAAACAAACAAAACTTATATATATGTCCAAAATTCATTGTTAAATTGTATTGTATTTTTGTTTAAATGTCCATTTGCACATTTTACTAATAAGTTATCTTAAAAGATGGGCTGTAAAGATGTACATATTAGAGGTCTATCATTATCAGCCTATTTCTCAAAGGTAAACAACAACATAACTAAATGATGTTTGCAGAAATAACTCAATACATTGTAGTAGTACATACAACTTCTACTATTGCTACAACAAGGACAAATTGGAAGAATATTTGGCATCCTCTATAACAAAATAATCGATCATGGAAGAGGACCAAACATATCCTCTTTTTATGAGGATTTCAGTTAGAAGTTATCATTTGGAAACTTGCCATGTGTCCTTGACCTTCACAAGACTGACTTTCAACAACAAGCCATTTCCATATATCAATGTATAGCACAGCAAGATAACAAATTTCCAAACCAGGTCAATAAACCTTACAATAATTCAAACATTTTATACATCAATAACTTACACACTAGAAAGCCATGTAAACAACCAGCTGTTTATAATAGCAGAATTATCATTAAAAATCTAGGTCTCATGTACTTGTAATATTAAATTAATCAAGATTGCCGTGATAATAAGTTTTTTCTCATTTCTTTTCATGCAATCAATTTTATAAGTATGTTTATTGTATATACTGTATGAACATGACCAGCTGTTGTATAGACCACAGATATAAACACTCCTGATATTATAGGGCTTATTATAGTGATTTGGAAAATAGGCAATTTTATTTTTTCTGCTTTATATACACTGATTTTAACACATTTTTTTATCTCAGCATAGTTTAGTTTACATATTGACAGGATTGAATAATCTATATACAGCATATAACATTAACATACAACTTTTATTGACTGGAACCTTATATGACCTTTGATTATTGCTGGGTAGAATTATTTAACAAAATAACAGTCCTCAGAAATCACAAGATTACCTCTCTGCAAGGAAAGTTTCCTACATTTCTTCGACATTTACATGAAATATTGTAACAAGAGACAAACTGGAAAGCATCATTCTGTAAAACAAACCTGCAATTCTCCTTCATAACTAATTAATAATTATCTGGTTACAAAATGATTTGTAAATGTCAAGGGAAGATTGCAAAGAGCAAAGACCCATCGAGATTATTTTATAAAGTACATATCCAATGTTGTTATAAATAGAGGTAGAACTGGACTATTGGCCCAAGAGTGCTCAACTGAAGACAGTATGGTATGTTCTCAAGTTCTCTATAGTTAAGTTATGATTTGGACGAGGTTTAGGTGGTCAAGGTCATTGTAATCTTGGCCTTTCACCTAATAAAAATCAAAACCCCAATTTTGACAACAGAAAATCAGAGAAGAATGTTATAAAGACATTTTCCAAGTGAAACTTATAACTGAGGATTCTGATTGGTCAGATGTGAATTGTCTAATGAAAAATGAGTTCTTATACACATCTCGGATAAACTTAAGGCCAGTAATATAAGTCAAGTAGACTCAAAATTTCTGAAATGAATATTTTCACAAAAATAAATGTTTGCTTAGTCTACCATATAAAGTGAACAGATTCAAAAGTAGAAATTTACATATTTTCAACTAAAACGTTAATTTTGTGAAATTTTGGCCTCGTAAAAATACATGTATCTGATTTACAGTATACTCCAAGCTAATCTCATGTGCCAAGATTTATATGAATTCTTAAATTCATTCTTACTTTTATAAAACATCATCCCCCTTGTTATTAAGACTAAACAACTTCTCAACTAAGCAGACAAAATTACTGAAGGATAACAAAGAACAAGTGGCTATTATACTTTTCAATGTTGAGCTCACTTCAAGTGAACAAGACAAAAGTATATTATTGCATTTTCATTTCAATTATAAAATAATTAAGATTGTTAAAACAATGTTATTAAAACATTATGAAAGAATTTATTAAGACAATAAAAGCCTTCATCATGGTGAGAAAATTTCTGTATTATCAAGATATAATGTAATAATCTTGTGGTATTATTCTCTATCAAAATGCACTTATTCACTAAATTTATTTTGCAGGCAAAATATCCCCAAAATTGTAAGGTAAACATGTGTCTTAAAAATTAAAAGAATCAAAATGCATAGCATAAATGTATTTGTTTACTAGTGTAAAAATTCATATGGGCAACCTTTTCCAAAACATCAAAATCAGTTATTATGTTTATATCAGTTTAGTGAAGACTAGTGGCTCTGCATTATCTTTAATATGTGCTCTTTTTTAATAATGTTTTTCTGAGTAAATTTCTTTCATACTCTATGTAGCTGAGAAGATAAAGGTCATGGTCATGTAATGAGATATTGCAACATAACATTTATGCTTGTATATTGTTTATGATATCAGTAATATATTTTGTTGTTATCAAACACATCTATATTTATATATTTATTTTGGTTCTCATTGACAGGGAACAAGTAAACATTTATAAATTGTTTTAATTCAAATATTTGGTATGGTATAAACATTTTAAGTACTGTGTATAGTTTTATCATGTTTTTATTTACCACAGATATTGTTTGTTTGGTTTGTTTCTATGCCAATTTTAACACATTTTTTGTCTTACTTTGGCATTCAGTCCACTTTAGCCAGCTTTCCAAGAATACTAACCAGTAATAACAAATTTTTCCACAAACCAACTTCTTATCCCTAATGACAATGTAAAGCTGGCATTTTAGCTTGGTCCCTTTGGCTTGATCACTTCAGGCAGTTAAGACTGTATTTGTTTTAACGTTAGAATGACAATGTAAAGTTCAAAACTGACATAGATGGACATAAATATTTTTGACCACCAATGTGGTTATAAATGAACATATTGACTCGATACAGCGTAAAGTGATATCTGAAGAAACACCATGTTTAAATAGTGGTTTAGCAAGAAACTTGGTTAAGATGTAGAATGAATATGAAATGTTCATTGTTACATTGGTTTATAGAATATGTAAACATTGTCTTATATTATGCAGTCTATGTTTCCAGGAAAGACGATGACAAATTATTAGTTCAAGGATAGGACTTACAGGAGATATCACACATTTCCCATGTAAGAAGTGCATATTGACTTGTTTTCTTTACCTCGTCCTACTCATTTTACTTTAATCATCCTAGAGTAATTGATTACAGAAGTTAATGATCGAATAATCTGCTGTCATATTTCATAAAAACAATCTTTAAAGTTAATTATTACAGTAGAGCTGCTCATAAAAACTTATTATATAACATATAATAATACCTATACGTTTTTTGTTATGTCATATGTTAATTTTTACAATTTATCATTTCAACAATTAGGTCTCAACAAATACTGCTTTTTTTACTACATTATGTACAAAAGCCTGCATTTGATTAATGTGTTTGTATGCACACACGCATATGGTGTTGAAATAACTTAATAATTTATACCACTTTCTTCACTAAAATATCACATTAATAATGAAGTTACTTCATACAATGTTATAAAATAAAGTGGTGTACTGACTACATGATTTGGTTTAAGTAAAATATGCTTAAGGGTAATTTTCTTGTATGCTTATAATAATTTATCAACATTTTCTATAGTTGAGTCTTTTCTGCACTGAATTTGTATAGTGCTTATGTCTTGTTTTGTATTATAACTTTAGAAATACAATTATGGCCAAAGGATAAACTTGGCAACAAGTGTCAAATCTGGTCAGTCTGAATAGACTTGCAAACTGACCAGACATTACACTGGTAATGTAGCTACACACTTAATGTTCAGTGTTTCAATCAAATTGTTTAACTATCCCATTATCTTCTGTTCTCAAGTTTGAGATTGTTAATTTTTGTTGTTGTTTAAGAAATTTTAAAAGCTGACAAATTGATTTTTGCTTAATTCCAGTCAAATCCAGTTATACCGAGCTAGTTTGGGTTATTATTTTTGAAACAGTTGCAATAAAATCAGAATATTTTATATCTAACAATTAAATGTAAAATGCCAGAAGTCTGTAAACTATTACAGAGACATCTCCCAATGGTCATTAATACATCGGAGAGAAATATAAAATCATTACAAATGATCACATTTTTCAAGGTAAATGTTACTATTGTTACGGTAATTATACGTCTAATGACATTCACTTTCTTTACGACTCCTGTATGGCACATTCCGTATGCCACAGTAACCTACAACATTTTTCTGGAATTAGGTTATGACATTTAATTGTATATAAATACTTACATTCAACTGTGTATCAAATATAACAAGCTTGGCACTTGTTGGAATTATATCATAACATTTGTGTGCTCTCATAAACTTCGCAAACACAACATCGGCATTCTCATCTACAGAAAAACAAAACAAAACATAGCCAATAAATATCATGTACATACGTATTCTTTCTATGACAAAAAAATAATTCCTGTAATTTGTATTACCTTAATGGATTGTATATTACTAAATTGATTTGTATACATTTAACAGTACAATGTATGTAAACAAAACATATCAAATTATCCAGATACAGATTGTTGGTATCCAGATACAGATTGTTGGTATCCAGATACAGATTGTTGGTATCCAGATACAGATTGTTGGTATCCAGATACAGATTGTTGGTACTGTGACAAAGACTTTATTCACTCGGCAAATATGACAATATCTTAAGACCTGAACAAAGCCGGAATACAGACAGGCAAGACAGAAAGCAACAGCAAAGATGGCCAAATGGAAAAGCAACCAACCAAATTGTATGTCAGTGTTCAGTCACCTAAACTGTAAATTCATCAAAATGTTTGTAGGCTAACATCTTTTCATGCTTAAACCCTTACTGTGATTTAATGAGTAAAATACGATATTATACTGATGTTACATTCATGTCCAATGACCTCACTTAATTAAATGAATTAAAAGCATTAATAGAATCCTATCATTTCATATCTTTAAATATTTTAATAAAATTTATTTATACAATGTAAGTATAAAAACAAACCCAAATCTTCAATCTCCATTCTCTCCATTTCTCCATCAAGGTTAAACTGAAATTGTAAAAAAGGTCAAAGGGTCAAGGACACACTTTCTTTATATATAAAAAGACTGCAATAAGCCACTTGTAAACTGATCATCACATAGGCAGGGTTGTTAGTAAAAAAGAACCTCTTAAATAAGAATCATATGAAAAACTTGATGCTGAGTCAAGGTCATTCAAGTCTTCAAACATCAAACAATACTTTAACAAAGTAGAAAAGAAGAACATTTTTTTTCTAAATGAAAAAGTTTTTCCCCTCACATTGCAATTGAACAACCTATTATTATTAGAAATGTCAATTAAACCAGTTCAAGTTTTTTAATGAAACATGTCTGTACAGAAAGTTTTCAGTTTGGTAGACTATAAATAGACTGTGATCTACACTGTCATTAATGTGTCTAATTACCCCCCATCCTCGTGGAAACACCAGCAGGATACTAGAAATCCTACAATTGTCTTCCTGGTAATGTGTTATTTAAGTAGTTTTGAAAGCTATTGTGGTATATTAGTGCCAGTTTTATCACAGTAATCAATAATTCACCAGATAGAAATAGAATTATACATCAGAGGATCAATACCATATCACATCCATTTAACACCTTGTCACAAATACATGCTTAATAAACAGGCAATAATGAAAAGTGAACTGTAACCATCTTTTGATTACATTTTCAACATGAAAATAGCTATTTGTACTGTCAAGCAGACCATGCTTAATGTCCTAGCTCTAATTCTAGACTTTATATCTGTTTAAAAAAATCTCAAGGGACAAACAAATGTTTATACTTATAACATGTTTATATCATCTGTAGATTAATAAAACTTTCAGAGTTCATATTCTTGACCCTGACTTGATAATTTCAAGTAATCTATTTCTAAGCAACCATTTCAGAAAGGTCAATGGTAGAAATGATATTTTATATATGACAAAAACCAAGCCAGACATACAATTCATATGGACACTCTTTGTAAAGGTTTTAATTAACATTTAAAACCAAACATTTGAGCTATCTCAAAGGTCAACAATTTACCAGCAGACAAGAAGCTTTTACTACTGTGTATTGATTAATGTAAGAAAACAACAAGTATTATAAGTTAAGTATATTTATTTGTAGAATTTAGTCTGCCTTTACTCACCTTAACAGTATTTGGACTCTCTGGTCGGTAGATAATAGCGTGGGAGTGGTCATTCTGGAAGGGAGACAATCTGCTCGGTAATGGTGGGGCAGACTTCGGCTCATTGGATAGCGAGGATGACCGCAGGGGAGACACTGTAAGACAAAAAACACATAATAAAATTTATTTTAAAGTTAAAAAATATATTTAATACATAATCACTAAATTATAACATTTACTTAACAATTCAGCTGTGTAAAGAATTCTAGGTTAGAAATTCAGCTTGTCATCCAATCAAAATTGACATGGTCAGTGTGAGAAATACTTAAATATTCCGGTTAAACCAAGAATACTTCAGTTTTTCTCCTAAAAAGACAGATGTATATCTGTATACCCTGAATTTGAGAAATGACCTTGTCCTGCTTTGAAATTAGAAAGTCCATTATTTATTTCAGAGGTAATTTTCTTGAAATAAGCCTACTGATAATTGACTGCCACTATTCCAGGAGTAAAGAAAAACACTAGTTACCTTTGTCAACAATAGCTTTATACATTTTGTACATAATATCTCCTTTTATCTATTTTTACATTTTAAATATTCCCATATATTATATATATATATAGTTCACATGTTTTATTGTTACTTTTACATTATATCTTACATAGAAAACTGTTGTTGTTGATATTTTTAAAGAAGGTCAAAGTTATGCATAAATTATTATGAACGTCAATTAAATAATAGCATTTTTATCAGTTTTACATCTACATAAGTTTTAATTTCTACATTTACTTTAAAATATAAAATTCTTATCACAGCTATATATCCTAGACTTTTTATACACATTTTTTTCACATACAAAATTTGTCATACACTTTAAATAGGATCTGTACTGATATTCAACTGGTGGTGATATATTGATTGTGGATTATAATAAAATAAATGCAAATCCTTCAACAGTATTCAAATGTTATACATCAAAACATCAAGGTTATCAATGATGTATCAGTCAATTTATGCAATGGAGGAGATTAAGCCAAAACATTTTTATGGCCTTTAAATTTAGTCAAAGAGCTATTCATAACCATAGTTCTGTTAAAGTAAAAATCTTGAAAAAGGGTGATCCCTCAGAAGCAATTTAACAATAATATATGACAAGAAACACCACCTATCTGGGGCCATGCTTGACTTTTTTTGTTAAGTCAAACACATCATAGGGAGAATGTAATAGTCAAGATTCTCCCAAGAAAAAAATAATTTTCTTGTAAAAAATAAAATTTAAATTTTTTATGTGACCTTGACTCTCAAGGTCATTCAAAGGTCAAGTCACATTTGAACTTTACTCATCATGTCAGAAAAATGTAACAACACTGAAGTGAAGAATGGGGCAACTGTTTACAGGTGCCAAGCCAAGTTCTGTTTCAGTCATCATATTCTCCATAACCCTAGATCTGTTAATGTCAAAACAATTCCCATAAACCTAGTTCTGTTAATGTCAAAACAATTCCATAACCCTAGTTCTATTAATGTCAAAACAATTCCCATAAACCTAGTTCTATTAATGTCAAAACAATTCCCATAACCCTAGTTTTGTTAATGTCAAAACAATTCCCATAACCGTCAAAACATAACTGTCAAAACATTGTCCATAACCCCAGTTCTGTTAATGTCAAATTGTTTTTCATAACCCTAGTTCTGTTAAAGTGCCAAAACATTCATCAAATCTTAGTTCTGTTTAACCAAAAATATTTGTCATAATCCTTGTTCTGTTAAATCATTGCCTCAGTTCTGTTAGTCAAAACATCAACATCTGCACTACTAAATTGGTAATATGGACTTGACCTGCATTGAATTTGGACCAAATAATGTTAGCTATGATAGGCTGGCCTGGCTTTAGCCTGGTATAACAGCCTGGTCATTATAAATGTTCCCATTATTCACAAACAAACATAAGAAAGAGAAATACCAACAAAGCTACGCTCTTAAAGAATATGATTAATGCATTTCATTCAGTGCAACATATGTTTTAAGTGTTTTTCCATCATATAAATGTGAGATAGTAAATAAATGTGAATAAAAAAGGAAATAAAGTACTGAATTAATTGAGAAACACACATTTCCTCACAAACCTTGACATACTGACCTAACCATGTTTATTGTTTTATTTCTGAGCTGCAAACACTCAATTTCAAGGTCTTGCCACTTAAACATACTGTGGGAGCTAAGGGTTATTGTGTTGTCATTATGGGACTCCAGTGTGTTGCATATTGTTACAAATTTGTCAAAATTACAGCAAGTATCTTACAGTTTCCTGTATATATATATTTATGTTTTAAGCACGACTTTTCAAGGTCTTGCTACTTTAAATACATCACAATCACCATGAAAAGGTGCACATAGAATGGCATAGCTGCACTTTGTGAAGTTTCAGCAACATCTGTCAGAAATTTACAGTAAGTATCTTTACATTCTCTTGACATTATGACTGACTTCTCGTGCTACTTCTAATATTCAAGGGAAAACAATGCTGTTCCTTTTTTTATTGTTTATTAATTTAAACAAACATTGGTTTTCAACAGAAAAAGGGAGGGACAATCTTTAGATAGAATGTTACAATTTTGTTATTACACATAAATTATACATTTTGATGGAAAATTTTATAATAAATCAAGAAGTAATTTACAACTGTACTGCAGGAATGTGACATGTTTTCCTGAATATGTAATTAGTTAATTAACTGCAGCATAATTATATAATTATAGGTCCTTATTATGTAATAGATAAATACAGTATATATAATTGGTTAAAATGAAGGAAAGAAGAACAAAAAGAGGAATGAGTAAATGGTGAGGTAAAATATCTGACTTAAGAATTAAAATGCCACCTAATGGGCATTGCATATAGCTTCAAGATAATTGGTGGATTTGGCATAAGGTGCAGGTTCTCAGTTCAATCAAATTTGAGATCATTCTTTTAAAATCAACAGTAGAAGCAAAACATTATTTTTACATATCAGTGAAATTTCTTTGAAATATTCCACACTTTCTGACTGATACTTTACATTGATTTTTTTCCCTTAAATTGGAACAAGCATGGAAGAAACAATGTTGATATAGTTGATCAATACACACAATCAGCATCCACTTGACATTAGTTTATCCATTACACAAAATACTTCTTATCTCTCCTCAACAAATATTATCAATGACTGAATTAATTTGTTTTATTATTATGTTTTTATTTTGTTGTATACATTATCTTTCTGTTAATTAAGGTAACACAATGTTCTTATTTAAAATGTAAAACGGAAAATATAAGTTTACACTATAGAAGCTTTAGGTTTAAACTGTTATGTGGGATAATTGAAGCTTTACTGTTATACAAAAAAATTGAAGATTATAGATGGAAGCTGAAGACACCAAATAATCTCCCTCCAAACACCATAACAAGTGCTAAATTTGTTGTCAACTAACATTTGCAGCTGGCCAGTGTGATGTATCCTATGTTACATATGGTATCATGTATATTATATATAGATCTACCTAAGATGACATTTTTATTCTATCAAAAAAACACAATGGTCTTTTCTATATTCACTAAATGAAGATTATCAGATTACAAAACAATTTAACTTGTTTGAAACTGTAAACTGAAGTAAACAACAGGTTCAGTTCAGTAAGTTGAAACCTACTGTATATAGAAAAAAAAACCCTCAAAACTGCTGTGTGAAATTAATTCCCTGGGTATATTGTTAACTTGATGTCAGATAGTAATGTTTTATCTGAGAGAGAAATAGAAAATTAGGACAAAAGTCTGCAGCAGATCACCAGTAGATTATAACAACAGCACAGCCAGGCTCATAATTTAATATATTATAGCCTTATTTTGTATCTTATAACAGTGAAAACTGCTAATTTCACACTTTTACCCTGCCTTAAGATGATTAAACAGTAGAAACATCACCTGCTTTAATACTTGTATACAAACACATCAACATCTGATGCCTAGATTCTTGATAATGCTTAACTCTAGAACAACATGACTTACTGTTGTTCATCTGCCTAACTTAAGCAAACTGCTGTTTGTTTTTAGTTCTTCCCAAGTATTAATAATTGTCTTGAGCAAGGTTTAAGTACAACATTATTGCTTTCATTTTCAGTCTTGCATTAAATAATCTTTTTATTTATTCTCATTCAGGCATCTTTCACAAATAAAAAAATAAAATAAAAAATAATCCTCTTAGAATTCCATGACATTTCAAGACAAAAAGAAAAGATTACAGGGAAATTAGAATTGTCAGCAAATTAGGCATTCAGTAAGAACGCACATGGCATGAAAATAAGCAAAAATGTAGAAATCAGAACATTATTTTGTAATGGTTTCTAAACAAGAGAACTGTCCAAAGGGTAGTGTGCTCAACTTTCTCAGTGCTGGATATAAAATGCATATTTTCAAAACAAAGAGACAATTTTAAGTCACGGTAACAGAGAAAATGGGCCTGGCGGGCAGAACTTGTCCACATGCATTCACATTATTAAGTTTCCATGTATTATCTTTCTTAGTATTTAAGTTGAATGACCATAAATGAAAACTTCACCAAACAAATTAACCATAATTGAATATTTCCTTCAAAGTGGAGCTAAAAATTAAGCAATTTTCCCTTCACAATAATAAAATTTTTTTTGTACCAGAAGTTAAAATAATTAACAGAAATTTCAAGAGATTTCAATATCTTGACAAGCAAAATAAAGGAATATCAATCTGTTTTTGTTTCCCATTTAATTTCTTAGAAATATCACATGCACTATAATGGCACAAAAATGATGCAGATGAAGATGTGTTCATTATGTCATCATTATATAAACAGTTTGTCAGGAATAGAGAACATACAACAAACATCACTGAGTTCATTAAAAGCTAATTAAATTCAGCAATAACAACAAATATAAAAACTCGGTTGATGGATGATCTTGTAAAACAAAACAAATATCCTAATGACAGTTTGACATTGATATTATTAGAAAAGGAAAATAAATTTCTATACAGACAGACTACTTCAACTGCTCCAAACAATTGATATTTAATTATTTACATAAGCTCAAAATACAATAGAAATTTGTTTACAGCATACATGTATATATTTATACAACAGGGGAT